GATCCACACTGGTGTGAGAGAGTTTGTCTGCTTTGACTGTGGGAAGAGTTTTATTAAAGCTGGAAACTTGAAACGACACCAGATGATCCACACTGGAGAGAAACCGTACAAGTGTTCACAGAGCATTCACGTGGATTAAAGTTCTCCATCGCTATGATGGATTAACATCAATGGGCTATATGCACAGCTAGTGCTTTTCAGCTACCGATAAACTTCTGGCGTCTCATGTATCAACGCTGCGTACGCACAAAAACTTTGCGTACGTCAGATAACACTCACGTTTGGATTTACTAACGATGAAATTAATGTGAAAATGTGCGCTGGTACACGCCAACTTCATGTCTGGCGTATGTGCATTTCTTGTGTGTTTGTTTTATTTCCAATGGCGACTCCTAGAGGCAGTTGTGTTAAATTGCACACTACAAATTATCTTTTGAGCCGTGCAGTGGCAGCTGTATGGGATGGGATCAACCGCATGTCTAGCAGGTATATAAAGTTTCCATACCATGCAGTTGACAAGCCAAATATTAAAGTGCAATTTGCAGCGATCGCCGGTTTTCCCAATGTAATCAAATTGATCGACTGCACGCACATTGCTATAAAGGCGCCATCTGAATACAAATTAGCATACGTGAATCAGAAACATTTCCATTCAATAAATGTGCAAATAATATATGATGCTCAAATGCGCTTAACATAACACACACACTGATTAATGATTCCTCCTTGTCTTTTGTTTGAATATCAAGCCAATTCCATGCGTGTTCAATAAGAAAAGGTCTGGAGAGGGTTTTCATCAATGCCAAAAATGTTAGTAATTTGTTAGATACAAATGAATAATTCGATGACAGAGCTCTGGGTTACGTTAACCCAATGCAATACAAGAATTACATTCAAGAGGTTCGCAACTAACTTACATTTCCTGACACCAGCATATATACACACAACTGATATTAACAGGTGGAGTTTTGGTGTAACGTCACTGATCAGTCATTCTGCAGTCCTTTGGCTCTTGTACCCCCAGACATACTTCCTCTTTCTGCAACCCTTCTCTGCATACCAGAACTGAACAATTACGTGCATCTTTAATATATTTCACGACTTCTACAATGATCATGCTCCTTGTGACAGAAGTCTGGAACAAAGGCTAAATTTATACTTATTCTGCTTTTTCCTCTGGCCAGCAGTTTTTCTAAAAGTATGCAGCAGGGGTTTTCAAACTGTAGGTCGCGCAACGTCATATAGCTGCAGCTATGTTTATATTGCGGTGAATCAAAACCAGTGCGATTGACGGCAATAACTCAAAAGGCTCTTACCCTAAAAATATCTAAAGTGTGTTTCCTACAAAAAGACAAAGCTGGTTGTGTTTCACAGCTGTCTTTTTCTTTTTTTTTTTCGCTCGACATCACGAGCACTGCTCCGTTTGAGCCCTCGCAATCTGCGTTTAGCCGGGAGAGCTCGCGCAGAGCGGAGCTCTCAGTAAGAGACTGTCGGAAAAGTGCTTTTTTTTTCCGTCCTGCGTGTTTTATTTTAAACACAACTAATTTTCTCTTAAATGAGCACAAACAGTTACTAAAGTAGTCAAATCCTTCATTATAGATCTGTGCATTCTTACATTAACTCTGTTATCAAACACAACGAGAGATTCATTTGCTGCTCTTCACTAAATAACTATAGTAACTTTAATCAATATGCAAATACAATTATAAGTGCAGTAGATTTTATAGCTTTATTTAATTTCTGTGTAGGCCATTGATTTTAATAGGCTAAACCTTTTATTTTATTGTCAATATTTTCTAATGTTCGCTATGTATTTTATCATTTGAAGCTATTTGTTTTCCAATATTTTTTACATCCCAACGTTGACAGATTGCTAATCAATAAATAGCTATAGTGCTGTCTGTTGGTTTTAAAGTCAGCTAATGTTATGGAAGGGAATAGATGTTATGGAAAATAGTAATAGTAATGTAACTACCCCCATCATTCCTTCCTCAAGCAAATGTGTAAATATTAGATCTATTCAGCGATAACGTTAATTGCATTGGCATATTTATCTGACATATTCCCAGCTTGTAGTAGTCGATCAAAAAGCTATTTAGTTTCTTATGACAATATACACTAGCAGTGGAATTTACTGTGATGTGACGGGGCTTGATCATAATCAAGGGGCTTGATCAAAGCTTGATCATATTCTTTTTTTTAAAAAAAAAAATCTGTTTCAACAAAAGAATGATCACAGTTACAGCCAGCATCCCACAAAAAGCACTTCGAGCCTCATTTTGTGCATATCAAATCGCAAAATCCAAAAAGCCTTTTGACTGCTTTGAATGGATAATTTTTTTTACCCATTTTTCCATATTGAAATATTATGCTGGGTCTTGAGATTGAATTACTTGCCTAGGTGGGTCCCGGAATAAAAAAGTTTGGGAATCCCTGGTATGCAGCGCAGTAAAAAAGAGGAAGTGTGTCTTGATTGATTGATTAATCTGTTGTTAGTCGAAACAGTTTTGAAATAAGTAAAAACACAAAAGTAATAAAAATAAATTCCTTTTCTCCAACACTTCCTCGTGATGAAAAGTCGGCAAAATCTGATATGTAGTGGGGGAAAAAAGAAGAATGAGTTCATCAGATGCTGGATTCGAACTGAGTTCATGATCAAAAGTGTCAAAACATGTTGCCATGCGCTTTACCTGCTACGCCACTCAAACTGCTATAGACACTACAAAATTTTACACCTTTATATCGGACCATTTCTTTTTTTAATTAATTTACAGCGTGATGTTCAGACCCCGCTGCGTTACCGCGTCAGCTAAAGTCCCCCACTCTTTTTTCTTTTGTTCATAATTCCGGAGGACAAACTTGCAAATAACACAGCTTTTCTCCAGTCTACCTCCAAAAGCAGCACCTCCAATTGACATTCTGTTCAAAGTTTCTCTTCTTGATTGCTTTTGTCGTTGCTTTTTCATTTCATTTAGCCAAAGTTAAAGTCATTAGCATATTCATATGGGGGAGGAGGCAGGGAGGGGTTTTGCGCTCATGCGCTCAGTTTCACATTAAGTCCGATGTACAAAGAGAATATGCGTGGGATTACGAGCACTGCTCCGTTTGAGCCCTCGCAATCTGCGTTTAGCCGGGAGAGCTCGCGCAGAGCGGAGCTCTCAGTAAGGGACCGTCGGAAAAGTGCTTTTTTTTAAAAAAAAAAATTCTTTTTTTTTCTTCTCCGTCCAGCGTGTTTTATTTTAAACACTACTAATTTTCTCTTAAATGAGCACAAACAGTTACTAAAGTAGTCAAATGCTTCATTATATATCTGTGCATTCTTTCATTAACTCTGTTAACTATTAACTATAGTAACTTTAATCAATATGCAAATACAATTAAAAGCAAATTCGTACGTACGGGATTCGGCGTACGTAGTGTTTCATACATCTGAATTTTTTACTGCGTAGGCAATGTTTTAGTATGATTTCAACGCAAGTCTTCATACATAAGGCCCCTCCTGTTTAACAATGTCCTTTAAAGTGGTTTAAAATAGGCACAATATATCGTTTCAGCATTGACATCGCAATATGTGCATCCACAATAGTCACATCGCAAAGATATGCAATGTTGAGTCTGAATTATAGTTGACCAGGAGCTACAGAAATATATTCGATCACTGTAATTATATAGAATTTAAATGATTTATGAAAAAAAAGTCTCAGAATTCTTGTCTCGTTTTTAGTCCACATATCTACATTTCAAAGCGAAAAGAATATTTCAAGTACCTGACTGGCAGATAATTAGGCTTATTTTTTCTTTCTTCTGACTGAAAACAAAACATTTTACTTGCTCAAAGAACTGTTTGACGTTTGGACTAAAAACGAGACAAAAACATAAGAAACCCATTTTTTTCATTATGATTATTCAATTGCTGAATACTGTTAGAAAACAATCAAATAGTGCAATTAAAAAATGCCTAATGAAACTGTATTCATATCGCAATATTTATGACAGAAAAATAAATTTTCACAATATCAGATATGTACTGTATGATGCAGACTAAGTTTAAAACATCTCTTGTTTAAATTATATTGGTTTCAGCTATTGAAATGAAGTGTTGATTAAAGGAATAAGTCATTTAATCCAGTAATATTTGACTTTCTCCGTTTTTCTGGCTGCATCTATCATTTTAAATGTGTTTGTCACATAGACTGTAAAAGTCTAAACAGTGCTTCACACATTTAGCGTTTGTTTTGGCTTTTCAGCATTATTCTAATTTGGCGCGTTTTTGATGATCCGCCGTTGTTCCCGCCTCTTGGGATGACGTCAGCACTGACGCGTTCATTCAGCGTCGAGTCTTCAGAGCTGAGGTGAGTCGTTCTTATGTTTACACAACAATAAAACACAATGTACCGTTTATTTAAGCAACAATCTGCTTTTAGACGCATCAATCTGCGACTAGTTTCTACATGTAGTTCTGTGAGGAAAATATTTTTGTTTTTCGAGTATTTTCAGCGATAACCAATATGAATTTTCCAAGTTTGTATTAGTAAAATCGCAAAGTATGATCTGTGAACGGACATTATAGAACTCGACCATGTCAGATGGGTTCTATGTAGTGTGATGAAAACTTTATTAATTAATAGTTTGAGGTGCTTTTAGTTTTCTAGAGGCTTTATGATTTCCTGTTTATAGATGTGCCACTGCTAACAATCTAATGACATTATTAGTATACTTATTTGAAATTTTAACTACTGAAATAATTGCAAACATTATTATTCTTAATTACTATAATAATTTGTTCATCCTGCAAACACTCAGTATAAATGAAGCTGATCTGTTGCTAAACCTGAATGGCTTGTTTGAGTGTGTTTATGTTTTGTGGTGCATTATGGGTAATGCAGTCAGGGGACCCCCCCAAAAATAGGCGGGCAGCTGGAAGCAGAATGAAAGTTAAAGAGAGACTGAGGGAGAAAAAATAGGGCAATTTATGAGGTCATAATGCCAAGTGCCAATGTGTTTTCTATCATAGAAATGAGGTGACATTTTAAGCAGTACTTTTTTTTTTGTTGTTGGATTAGCTAGTCAGATGTCATCATAACCACCCTTTTTGATGAACTAAAAATATTTCCTAAATATTGCGATTAAAAAAATTAAAACAAGACGAATTTTAAAAATTCAAATTTATGACATCATATATCATTAGGAAAAATGTCGATCTGTTAAAGTTTTAAAGTAAAAAACACTGTAGCCATCTGTCATTTATTAGACATAAAACAAACTGGCCAACACAATCAACTATCCTTAGTCACAATTAGGTAATTGCAATAAAAAATAATCATTAAAACATAATAATAACAATAATAAGCCTCTTTGGTAAAGAAAAAAGTACATTTGAAAATCCCTGGATATAAAATACGTTCAAATGAATTTCATTATTTATGATGGTATAGCAGTTAAACTATGACAAGTGAGCTTATGTATGGGAAAAATTCTGGGCCTTTGTCAGTGAGTGGGTCTTCCGAATCTTCCTGGCTACAGGCCTGAAGAGTTAGAGCACATTTTATGCTGATAGTAAACATGTTTTTAATGGAGTTCTGGCTGTAAAAGTGCAGCTACAGGTATTTCAGGCGCAGGTCAGATTTTCTCCAGGTCATCATTTATTGTATTTATAATAATTTTGTCTAACAAAAATATTAGACCTGTCCAGTTTCATCTGCAATGCATCCCTGATCACCTTCTGAAGTGGTTTGAGCGATCGGATTTATAAAACAAACAAAGTGAGCAAACAGCCTCAAAAACACAGACGTGACGAGATTAACACCTTTTGCTGTGATGTGGCATCTGACAGCTGAGGACTCCGCTTGCCATTAAAGCCTTCGTCGGACAGTTATTTTAAAAAATGTTAAATACGCAGGACGTCCCGGCTGGCTAATGCAGCCAGTTAGTCTAGAACCTCATGGATAGGGGCAGATGTTCATCTGTTAGGAAGTAAGTAACATTAGCCTCACCCTGTTTGGCAGTCTTTCTGAACATACGTTCAATATTTTGTGATAATGACGCCGCTTCCTGCCTTTTCTGCCTCTCTTGCTCTTTTTGACCCACAGCGTTACTCAGTATGTGTTGAGAAGTTTTGTCTTCCTACACTGCAAACTCATAGTGTCACACCCCTATTCATATAATGGTACACTCCAATCTCCTCTGGCCAATCAGGACTGCCTCAAGGGCTTTATTAACTGCACCTGTTCCCACAGTTTGCTACTTTTCGGCATCACATGGCTGAACTGTGCAGAGGGCTGAATTTGATCTCCTTTGTTTTCCTGTGTGTGCGTATTTGACCATGTAAGTGGCTTTTGCATGATTTAAGTTGACTTAAGTGCTCATGTTTGCCATATTTCTGTTTAGTTATGTTCTTTGCTTGTTGGTAAACTGAAGCATTTGTATTTCTGTTATTTCCTTAATGATTACTGACACATTGTATTTCTGTTATTTCCTTGCAGAAAACCACGCACAATCACCGACACGCACACAATCACACAAACACACTCACCGACACACAAACACACACATACCTTTCCTCCTGAGTACAAATCCTTGTCAATGCTAATAAACGCCACTAAATGGAGTGACAAGACTGGACCTCTGTTCTTACCGACAGCACCACTGGCTTCAAGCTAGCTACCTAAACAAGTTGCCTCCTAACCTTCTTTTCGCATCATCAAAGATTGAAATGTTGCCACTCAGTGGGTTATGTCCTGACTCGCGTCACACAATGTGGCTTTGAGGCTGTATGGGATTTGAATCACTGGCCAGAGTTATTTAAAATTACACTTTATTACAAAATATATTAAATATAAATATATTATATAATATTAAATTACATAAAATAATTGAAAGGACAAATTCTGGACCTTTTGGTTGTGGGGGGTTGGTTCGAACATACTTGTAGAATAATTCTGTGGTGTAAGAAAAATGATGATGCCGAAGAAAATCTCAATTAAGATGTTTATTCAGCATAGCAGTCTCAAAATACATGGCAGTACCTTGGGATCACCGGAGTCAGAATGAACCCTGAACATTCCTAAACTCAAACCTTTATATTGTTTTTGATGTCGCCTTTAGATGTTAATGAAGTTGCTCGTCGGCTGTTGACCCAGCTGTTCTCCCTCTCTCTCCATGTTAAAGGGCCATGAATCCCCCTCGTTTCAGCAGGGTGTTTTCACACCTCTACTTTGGAAAAAGTCAGAAAAGTGGGCGTGTCCAGCTCTGTTTAGGGGGGAGTGTCGGAGGAACTAAAGTGGGATTGTGTGGGAGTGTCTATTTGTGCACGCGCGAGTTTCAGAGTCAAAATACACACACACACAGACAGGAGAAGTGTTTAACCTACATGGACATCTGTAGTCGAATTATTTGCCAAATTATTAAATGTTGGACAAACGAGATATTTGATTAGAGGAACTGCTGCAAGCGTGTATTTTTCATGCAATGTTTGATACCGCACGGCGAATGAGAGAAAAAAAAAACTCCGCATTTCCCGGAAACTTAGATGCACACGGCAGGTAGCGTCAGAAAGCCGAATGTGTTATTCCGGTCACAAAATGCGGTGCTAACATTTCTGCACTCAGTGCAATAGTTAACTTAGTTCGATACGAACAAACTGAATAAACAAAGAGCACTGGTCGCTCACTTACCAAATCTGTAGAGACAGGACAATCACCAGCAACTAGAGCCGCGTCTTTATGGAGAGAAGACTACAAGCAAATCCAGATTTCAGCGTTTGCAGATGAGAACAGCTCTCAGGTAAACAATAATCCTCCTTAGACACGTAAGTTATTGTTGTCGAGCGTCGCGTACACTGTTAATCCAGACGTGATCCAGATAAGCTCTCACTGAGAGAAAATGAAAACGAAACTTAACGGCAGCAAACTATAAAAGCAACACTTCATGCTTGTTTTGCCAACACAACGTGGCGTCTTTGTGGTGTAAACACGGTGACACAAATGAATATTAATGAAGTTGCACAGTAGAGCGCGCTGATTGGTTTGAACCAAGCCTTACTCATGCATTAATGCAGCACACTGTAAGACGTAATAAGACTCACTCTGGCACAGATGCCCAGTCTGCACGCTGGAATACACGCTATTATGTCATGACCGTGACGCAGCTTCAAAAATTCGTTTCAAACAGGAAGTACGAATTTACTGGAAATAACGCAAAAACAACCAATTTACACTTTTTAGTGAAATATAGGTGTCCTAATAGTGTTTTTAGCAGTGTGGGACACATATACCACTGTCAACAGCTCAACACATGTGTTTTGGTGTTTCGTGACCCTTTAATGCAGTTTTAACACCATTGATGAGATGGTTGTTTGTGCACCACACCCATCCCCATTCTACAATTGTTACCATTTGGTTGAGATGTAGTCACCTCAACCAATGCAGAGAGAAGACCCTGTTGACTTCTCTTTTCTAAGTCAGCCCTTTTGGGAAATAAACATCAATTCACCATTTAGAGTGAAAGTTGGGTCGAGGCAGACTCATTTCTTACAGTGGTCAGGACTTGGTTTCACTTAAAGCTTCACTCAGTAATGTCTGATTTTATAAGACATACGTTACTGTTTTCGCCTCATTCATTGTACTCATGTCTGAATTTAATGGCTTCAGCTGATTAATCGCATATTGTATCAAGGTATAAACTTTGTAGTGATTTATCATCAATAAATCAGATTTTTTTGTTTCTTCTCCTGAAGCTCTGCCGCCATCAGTGAAGGACGAAGACAGAGTTTATTGAAGGACAGTGAGAAGATGAGTGATCCAGAACCCTGCACAATTAAACAGGAAGAGACTGAAGAACTAATAGGTTTGTGTTTATTCATTACTCTTCAATAATCAGGCTGGAGAACAGTGAGGTTGTTCATTATTAAGCACTTTCGACTAAATACTCTATTGTCCGCTATGTCCACAAGAGGGTGCAGGTGAGCACAATAAGCAAATAAAAACCAGATCAGCTTTAAAGAAAAAAAAAAATCGCTTTTTAAAACGCATAACCTCTCAAACAGCTGTTCTTAAACAAAATATAATTTCCTTAATGTGCAGTAATAACACAAGAAAACAAGCTTTAATAGTTTCATGTTAGTACAATTATATTAATGCAAAGTAGCAATCTGCCCTTTAGAATCAAGCTCAGTCACTACATCTACATAACGGTAATCAAAAGCACAGAGATTAGCATGAATCTATCGTATGTGGGACAAATAAACGTGAGGTTCATACCTGTCAACATTGGGATGTGAAAATAAGGGATCCCCCCACCCTCCAACATTAAACATTCGGATTAAAGAGCAGCGAATAATTCTCTCATTTAGATAAATAACAGAGGTGTGACTTGTACATGTACAGATCCATAATAAAACCATTCGACCGCTTTCCTTACTTTTTGTGCTCATTTAAGACGTAATTTGTTGTGTTTAAAAGAGAACCCACTGATATCGTCATAATTTGTTTTTAGTGACGTTTTTTCCTCGCCGCTGTCGCCACTGGCTTGCATGGTTCGGGACCCGTAGAGCTGCGCATCGATAGATTTGCTCCTCAGGGCTCTCAGTACTGTATATTAAACCACACTGAACTGAGCTAAACTGAACTGACACTTTACATTTACTATAATGTTCTATGTGAAGCTGCTTTGACAGAATCTACATTGTAAAAGCGCTATAGTAACATAGGTGAATTGAATTGATTCAATGTTGTTATTATTATTATTATTATGTGTATACATTTGTTCAAACACGCACCCAAAACCCAGTGTCCACTTTCGCACCACTTCAAATCGCATGTATAGAATCTGTTTGGAAAACCGTGTCTATTTATTATTATGGAGCGCATCTGACAGTCACGCACCGCTACGTGAACCGACTGTTTTGAGGATTGCATAGGAGGGGTTATTTTTATATTTGTTTCAAAGTGTTTTCATGCCTAAATAAATCGAAAGCACGGGACAGATTCACATTTAAAGGGTAAACGAAACCCCCCTGTCTCAGCAGGCTGTTTTCACACCTTTAGTTTGGAAAAGTCAGGAAAGTGGGTGTGTCTAGCTCTGTTTAGGTGGGAGTGTCGAAGGAGGGAAAGAAGGAAGCTTTTGCACAAAAAAAGGCAACCCGGGCTCATTATGGAAACGTAGTCTGGAGACTGCGGAATACGTCCCGGCGGGTACGTACGGCTGCAGTTTTTGTTTTCACGAATCTGCGAGAGGCCGCTGTTGTGCGCGTCTCAGACGCCTCTCCGCGCCCACGCTGATCTCGCGTGAACCCGCCGGAGGCCACTGACCGGATGATTGACTGCGCGACCGGCCAATCGGCCGACCCGCCATCCTCTTTCCCCGAACCCAACCAATCTTACCGATTGACCCGCCCGCCCGCTCGCTTCCCTAAACCCGAGCAACAGTTTACAAAAGCCGTCCAAAAAAAATAAAAGCCCCGATTTTTTTTTTTTTTTTTTTGCGCGCGTTTTCGGATTTCACCGCGTTCTCACCCTGTCACAAAACTCGTTCACTTAATTTTTGGGATTCTGTTTTTGTCTTACCTGATTGCTGGAACCGATCTTCCCCGGACTCGAAACCGGTCGCCGTGGTCGACTCCTCTCTGCATCTCGAGCCTGCCGACGTACACGGTGAGCTGATTGGACAAACGGGTTACAGCGGGGAATCCCTCCACAAGGAGGTAAGCAGTCGGCCGGCAAGCGGAAAAAGGAACGGCGTCACACCGCCCCGCAGCGTTCGCTTGAAAAAAATAAACGCGGCTGTACGTACCCCCCGGGACATATTCCGCTGTCTCCAGAAACGTCCGCGGGATTACGTTTTCAGAATGAGCTTGGGTTGAAAAAAGGAGTTTCCGTTTGGGCACGCGCTGATTTTCAGGCAGGGGAGAAAGACAGTGACTGTGTTTACATGGACATCAGTAATCGAATTATTCATTCATTCATTCATTTTCTTGTCGGCTTAGTCCCTTTATTAATCTGGGGTCGCCACAGCGGAATGAACCGCCAACTTATCCAGCAAGTTTTTACGCAACGGATGCCCTTCCAGCCACAACCCATCTCTGGGAAACATCCACACACACATTCACACACACACTCATACACTACGGACAATTTAGCCAACCCAATTCACCTAAATAATTCGATTACAGTTTCCCCCAAAGTCCAAAGACACCCGATATGTCTTTGGACTTTGGGGGAAACCGTAATCGAATTATTTGCCAAATTATTGATTTGTCGACTTTAACTGCATTTTAGCACTTTCACTTTCATTCAGGAGCATTTCCTGCATGCCCCCTGTGACAAACGATATATTTGATTCGAGGAGCTGCTGGAAGAGTGTTGTTTTAATGGAATGTTTGATACTGCACGCCGAATGGAAAATAAAAACTACATACACAGTAACTTAGAATTTGCTGAAAATAACGCAAAAACAGCCAATTTTCACTTTTTAGTGACATATATGTGTCCTAATAGTGTTTATAGCAGCGTGGGACACATATACGACTGTCAACAGCTCAAAAAAAAAGTGTTTTGGTACACAGGAAGTATCGGCTCTTCAATGTTTATTGCCACCCTTAGTGAAAAGATTGAGAATACGGGAAAATACTATTATGGGATAACAGTGGGATATAATTGTAAAATACGGGAGAATCCTGGGAAAAACAGGCGGGTTGACGGGTATGAAGGATACAGCGCAAATGAGTATTATAATGTTATAATAAAGCAACTATAGTTTTAGGAAACACTCATCATAACTGTTATGTATTTGTGTTTTTTGTGCTCTGTTTCTCTGTGTTTTTTTTCTCTCTCTCGCTCTGTTCTCCCATATCTGCTTTCATGTATTATCAGGTTCCGTTCATTGGTCCATTCAGCTGTCAGTTAATCCTCCCCGGTTACGTCACTCTTATGTCACATCCAATAAGCAAAGACCACCCGTGTTAAAAGCGCGCGCCAGACCACTCGCCTGCCCTTCCTTGCATTATTCTCTTTCTCTGCTTTGTCGTTTGTTTGTATTTATCGCGTGCGTTTAGAAATAACCCGTCTAACTGTGTTTTCTTGTTGCTCGTTTCTGTGTGCACGTTATCCGTCCGTTATTCGTACATCGTTCTTAGTTTATCGCTGTTTACGAGGCTTGGACGAAGCGGACAGGTAAGAAGGTCACGTGACATACATATTGCAACACATAGGACTGCTCTGCTGTCTAGTACACTAGGTTAGGGGCGAGCGCCACTCCTTGTACTTTTTGGATAGATAGAGTAGATAGTTAGGACTCGGAAGATCTTCGTGTGTTAATTATACTGTTTTTCACATAGTTAGTTAGCTAGATGCTTCTGGGGAGTTAGATTCAGTTTGGGTTTTGTTCTTTTCTTTAGCGCCGCCCGCGTCCCTTCTGCTAGCTCTCTTGTTTTTTCCATCTTTATTTGTCTCAGTGTTGTACATATTGTAAATAGTATATTTTTGCCTTACTTACTTTTTCTTTATTTTTGATTGATCATCTGTTGTTGTTGTTAACTTTGGGATTGTAAATAAAAGCACACATTTTTTGGCATTACTTTGGTTGTCTTTCCACTCATTCACTGTTTATATAAATATATTTTAAAGAGCCCATATTATGGTTTTTTGAAAATTCCCCTCCATGTAGTGTGTAACACCGCTCTAAGTGAAGTGAAGTATCCAGCTAAGGTGTAAATCTGTAAGAATACAGTGTTTAAAACTGTTGATTCATCTATAAAAGAGTCGACTCATAGTGCTTCAAACGATTCACGTGCACGCGCAAACCCGGGAGATTTCAAACCTGAGGCCCCGCCCTCTGACGCAAAAACCCAGACACACACACACACACCCACAAACACACGCACACAAACATGCTGGTCGATTGAAGTCACACTGCAGATGGATATTATCGAGGGTCTACCCAAAGATGAAACCTCAGCATTATAACCAAGCAGTTGGAAACTTCTATGCTACAAAGAATACTTCATCGGCGTTTGTTAAAGGAAGGATCAGTAAAGAGTAACTTACTGATGGACGTCAGGATTATTTTCTTCCTCCATTTCTCAAGTGTAAGTACGTGCGATTTAAAGTTGTTGCCTCGTTGACTCGAGCTTGCAAATGTATTTAGTTGTGATTTGTTACTTGTAACCACGTGTTCTGTATCAGGTTAACTGGCTATGTTCTCTTATCGCGTGCAAAGTCACGTTAAAAACGCGACGCGTGCTGCTTTGTTTACGGAGCTCCGTGGTAGAGGTCTGCAATAAATTTCCGAATAAATCGCTGGAGCGGTCGGTAACGGGTTTAATTTGGGACGGCAGCGGGCTGTCTAGCAATATCACGGATATTGCTATGCGAATGAGAAAGAGAGATAGAGCTTTGCTTGTGTGTCTGCTTGTGTGTGTGTGTGTGTGTGTGTGTGTGTTAGTGCGCACGTGCGCGTATGAGAGAGAGAGAGAGAACTTTGTCTGTTTGTGTGTGTGTGCTTGGTGTTGTGTGTGTGTTTATACAGACAGCTTGGCTGTCTGGACTGTATAGCTGGGTGATTTTTGGTTTTGTTCTCCCCCGCTCTTTAGCGGGATCAGGCGCGGCGGGCAGAAAACGGGGCGGGTCGGGCATCGGGACAACAAATTCTTCATATAAGCGGGAGCGGTCGGGTTCAGGCTAAACCTGGCGGGTGCGGGCGGAAGCGGATCGTTGTCGTCCGGAGGTGTGTGTGTGTTTTTGTGTGTGTGTGGCAGCTAAAGTCCACGCCTACACTATGGAGCGTGTATGAACTGTGATTACTTTTATATTGCTGATTAGCTATTGGGCATTACACTCTCTGACTGAAGGCAGTCGACCAATCGTGACAGACTGTAATCGGTCCAATCAGCGCAGATTAGCTTCGCGCTAAGGAGGGGTTTGGGAACAAATGAATCACTGGACGATTCATACGGGGGTTGCTGGGATAAATAGGTAAATAAATGCAGATTATAAGACCATGAAAGTGTTTTTTGACTTTGCATGCATATTAGACTGTTGTTGGAGACCCTTACAACCAAGATATGACCCAATTTCATGTATAATATGGGCTCTTTAATAAACAGTGAATGAGTGGAAAGACAACCAAAGTAATGCCAAAAAATGTGTGCTTTTATTTACAATCCCAAAGTGAACAACAACAACAATGAATTAATAAAAATTTTGTAACAATAACATTGATCAATTTCTAAATGATGCGTCCATACTGAATGAATAATCCTCCATGGTAAACTAGCCTCCTAAAATATAACTTATTTACTTAATTTTCAGATGTGATATTAAAGGTGAGTGAAGATGAGGAGGAACATCAGGTCAAGAGTGAAGGAAAAACTCAAGCAAACACAGATTATAGTGTTTCAATGGACAGAACAGCTGTGAAATCGTTCACATGCTCCGAGTGTGGAAAGAGTTTCAGACGACCGTCAGGTTTATCACAACATAGGAAGATCCACACTGGTGTGAGAGAGTTTGTCTGCTCTGAGTGTGAGAAGTCTTTTATTAAAGCTGGAGACTTGAGACGACACCAGAGGATCCACACCGGAGAGAAACCGTACAGGTGTTCACACTGCGAGAAGACGTTCAGTCTCTTACAACCACTGAAAGTACATGAGAAGATTCACACTGGAGAGAAACCGTACACGTGTAGTCAGTGTGGGAAGAGTTTCAGACAATCATCATCTCTTTATAAACACTTGAAGATCCACACTGGAGAAAAGAAACACCAGTGTGATCAATGCAGCAAAGCATTTTCGAGGCCTGCAGATCTGAACGTCCATCTTAGAGTTCATACAAAGGAGAAGCCGTATTCATGTTCTGAGTGTGGAAAGAGGTTTACACGGCAGTCAAATTTAACAATGCACCAGAAGATCCACACGGGTGTGCGAGAACTTGTGTGCTTTGAGTGTGGGAAATCTTTTATTAGAGCTGGAGACTTGAAACAGCACCAGATGAATCACACCGGAGAGAAGCCGTACGTGTGTTCACACTGCAACAAGAGATTCGGTCATTTAGGAGGTCTGAAAACGCATGAGAGGATTCACACCGGAGAGAAACCGTACACATGTATTCAATGTGGGAAGAGTTTCACACAGTTAGCACATCTTAATGAACACATGCTGATCCACACTGCAGAGAAAACGCACAAGTGTGATCAATGCGGGAAAGCATTTTTGAGGCCTTACGAGTTGAAGAGACATCTTAGAGTTCATATAAAGGAGACGCCTTTGTTCGGAAAGAGTTTTACACATCAACACAATTCACCTTCCTGAAAACTCTTCTCTGCATTCACAAAATCAGATTTCACAGTTGAATGTATGTTAATGAATTCCAACATGTGCACTAGAGCTTTGGGTTCGGGTGGGTTTGGGCTTAATTTCTATCATTTTAGACCGGGCCAGACTTGGGTAAATGAAAAGTCACGTAATGCATTTCGATTAATGTGAGAAAGTCATCAAATCGTTTGTTACAACATTAAAATCCCTGCAAAGGTGAAACGAATGATGGCGGAGACGTCAAAAAGAGCGAATTTTGAGTGTGGTCATGCCGGCCGCCAGTTCAAAAAGAACGGTCATTCTAGCCGCCAAGGGATTTCGGCGATCGCTCATACACTGCGTATTACGGTTGTGGGTGTAACGAGGAGACTGACACGGAGGGATGCAGTATGCAGTATTTATTAATCACACTCTCACTCAAACATTCAATTTGCACAAAGATGCGAACACACAACAACAGTAGCAGTAAAGGTTTTAAGGCTGGCGGCTGACAGGCACAGAATGATTTACCAGGCATGGGTCAAAAGCAGTCGGCGTGATTCAGAGTCCGTGTATCAGGCTTGGGTCGTGGGCAGGCAGCGAGTATCAGAGTCCGTGTATCAGGCTTGGGTCGTGGGCAGGCAGCGAGTATCAGAGTCTGTGTATCAGGCTTGGGTCGTGGGCAGGCAGAAGGCAAAGCAGAGTCAGGAACAGGCTGGAGTAATGCACAGGAGATCAGGCAGGATATAACGCTCAGTAATGCTGGCCGGGGCTGAACAAGACTTCGCACTGAGTGAAGGTTTGAGTGCGGCTTATAAAGGGTACGTGGGTCATTAACTGAATGGAGAACAGGTGTGCACGATCAGTGTAAGTGGATGATGTAATGCTAGAAGTCCGGAGATGGCGGCCTCTGCTGGCCAGCGAGGGGAATGACTGGGACCGAGTCGGTGACAGTGGGAATATAAATTTATATTTATATAATTAATTTTTTTTAAAGTTGTTTCCAGGGTGTGACAGACCTTAACATGTCTTAGTCTCCGGAGCCCTGAAGGTCTCCAAAGTAATGCAAATGATCAGTTAACTTGTTTTCTTCTTTCGGTCAACTGGATAGGCGGTTTCTGTCCCCAGAACATGATGAGACCAGGCCTGAAAAAGCAGTTTACCCTGCTGACTACAACCTTTCATTTGCATGCTTTGTTTGACTGTCCCGACCTACATGTATCAAACTGTATAAATGTATAATGTTTGCTGTGGAGTTTAGAGTTTGCTTTCGATGACGCCACAGCCACGCCGAGTTCTTCTTATTAAAAAGGATTCCGCTTTGAAGACAACCGAAAGATTCTCCCTGGTTTTTTGGGCTCTTAGAAGTTTACAACACGGTAGAGCGGTAAACAGCAATGAACAACAAGCTGACAGGAAAGATATCGAGGTCACTCGCTTTATTGAAACTGCTGTCATGGAAAATGAAATGGATGTTCTTGGCTGGTGGAAGAAACAATCCTACCCCAAACATGCTAAATTAGCCAGACCAGTACTATGTATCCCGGCCAGTAGGGGCAGCAGTGTACAGGCTGATTTATACTTCTGCTTCAAGCGCACGCGTATGCAACGGCGCAGCCTATGCAGACGCATATCCCTTGCTGTCGGCGTCGCAGACACGCACCTTTAAGAAATGTAACTACACGTCGCAACAACGCGTAGAGCAAGCTCTGTGATTGGTCAGCTTGGTAGCGCTGTCGAGTGTGGGCAAGACCAAGAGCCGCGCAAGCCTGATGGAGCAACTGTTTACAAGTGTGAAGTCCCGTAAAGGAGCTCCGGATGGAAAGTTTTGTTTTGTGTGTACCTCATAGTTAAAGTTGTTGCACGTCCGCCAGTTCCTGCCTTTAAATGAGCTTAAACCACTTATAGATCAAGGAAGTGCTCAGGAAAAACAAAACACCAGCGAAGAAACTCGACACAGAGACACATTAAGATCTCACTGCCAACTAGCGTTTCGGAAGTGTATTGCAGAGCAACAGAAACAGTGAGCAGAAGTATTAATGCACAGTTACGCAGGATTAAGGGTGTTCAGTGCTGATCAGTAAGCGCAGGACTGTGCTAAAGCCATCTACAGTCGATTCAATAATGTTCCTCTATAATAACACGTAGCCTAATCTTGCTGAGTAAAGGATTTCAAAGTCATTCATTTATTTATTTTCTTTTCAGCTTAGTCCCTTTATTAATCTGGGGTCGCCACAGCGGAACGAACCGCCAACTTATTCAGCATCTTTTTCAAGCAGAGGATGCCCTTCCAGCAGCAACACTTCACTGGGAAGCATTCATTCACACTCATTCACACACATGCACAAAGGACAATTTTAGCTCACCCAATTCACCTACCACATGTCATTAGACTTGTGGGGGAAACCGAAACCCACGCGAACACAGGGAGAACATGCAAACTCCACACAGAATCGCCAACTGACCCAGCCAAGGCTGGAACCAGCGACCTTCTTACTGTGAGGCGACAGCACTTCCTACTGCGCCACCGCGTCGCCCGGATTTTCAAATTATAACTAAATATTAATTAAACGATAAAATCATAATGTAGTCAGGGTATACAGGCTAATGTTGGCATTATTATTTCATTATTCTGCTTCACCGTCGCCTTAATGCCACAAATCCTGCAAAGCGTTTATTTTAAGTTCATTATTGCCAAATTCCCGTCATCATTTATCATTTATTTTAATTTCATTTGTTAAGAAAGACTTCTTTTCATTGGTGTTTTGGTCAGTTTAAAGGATGAGTGTATGTACCTAGGCCTGTTTAGATTGCTGAAGATGTTACGATGTTACAGAGGACTTATTTTATTTCCTTGTTCCAACTTCCAAGTGCCCTATAGCCTATGTTTGTTATGAATAAATTATGTTAAAACGCGTATAAACGACTCGTTCATGAAAAAAGGCAAAAGAGCTGTGTGCATGTGCACATATGAATAATGTCGGCTATAAACGGGTTCAGGATTTTAAAAAGCTGTCAATCAAAATGTACTTGTCGGGCCGAATTCTGTCAGACTCGAGCCCTATCGGGCTTAACTTTTATGGCCTGATTACAGATCTGATGTGCACGCTAAATAACAATTAGCATAATCCCCATCTGTGTAATTACATGTCCAGCAGTGCAGTGGAATATCCATTGGCTTGACTCCAGTATGTTTGGTAAATGCCAAAAAACACTTTATGCCTAAAAATGACGGTGGATAAGTGGTTAGCACTGTTGCCTCACTGCAAGAAGGTCGCTGGTTTGAGCCTCGGCTGGGTCAGTTGGTGTTTCTGTGTGGAGTTTGCCTGTTCTCCCCATGTTGGCTTGGGTTTCCTCTGGGTGCTCTCGTTTTCCCCACAGTCCAAAGACATGCGCTTTAGGGGAAATAAATAAACTAAATTGGCCATGGTGTATGGGTGTTTTTCAGTACTGTGTTGCGGCTGGAAGGGCATCCGCTGCGTAAAACATGTCGGAATAGTTGGGGGTTCATTCCGTTGTAGCGACCCCTGATAAATAAGAGACTAAGCTGAAGTCATGGTGGCGCATGATGTCATGGTGGCGCAGTGGGTAGCACAATCGCCTCACAGCAAGAAGGTCGCTGGTTTAAACCTTGGCTGGGTCAATTGGCGTTTCTGTGTGGAGTTTGCATGTTCTTCCTGTGTTTTTGTAGGTTTCCTCCAGGTGCTCCGGTTTCCTCCACAGGCTAATGATATGCGCTATAGGGGATCTTTTAGGGAGACTTTTCCTGTTCCTGAAAATGATTCCGATACCTACATCAGCAATGTTCGTTCAATTGAATAGCTATACATAGAATGGTGTATATTGTAATATACTTTACATGCATTTCCCAAATTGTGTTTTAATTTTTTTTTTATTTGTTTATTATCTGTTTTTGTCCCATCACTGTCATGGAAACTTGTCACAAAAGCAAATCCTCCTATGTGTAAACAAACCTGCCAATAAAACTCTGATCCTGATTAAGTGGCGAGTCTTTTTAGGGTCTTTGGTTGTGTTCGAAATGCCATACTTGCTTTATGCCCAGTATATAGTACACACTGGTTTTGGATGTCTTTGTCTGTCACACCCATTTCAGGTCTTTCAGTCTCTGTTAATGAGCTGATGATCTGAATCAGGTGTGTTTGGTTAGGATAGACATGGTAAGAGTGCAGAGCTGGTGGTCCTCCAGGAACGTGGTTGAGAAACACCGCACTATTCAAACACTTTCAACACAGGCTCATTCTGAAAATGTACCGCTATATACATACTTTTTTTGCCATTTTTGTTTTCGCGAATCCACCAGAGCGCGACGTGTACACTTTTTTCAGATTTCAAGTTTCTCTCTCGAGTGACGTCCGCACCTGCTTTTCTCACATAAATCCATCAGAGGCTGCTGTTGACTCACTGACTGACTGACTGACTGACCGACCAACCGATTGACTAACCCACCCTCCTCCTTTCCTAAACCCAACAAATAGTGTTTTCAAAAGCTCCAATTGACCAGCGCACACCCACTTCCCTAAACCCAACCAACAGTGTTTTCAAAAGCAATCTAGAAAAAGAGTGGCCTCCTGATTTTAACCCCGTTTTCAGATTTTACCACATTCTCACCCTGTTATTTACTTGTTTATTTAATTTTTTGGATTCTGTTTTTGTTTTGCCCACTTTCTGGGATCGCTCTTCACTGGACTCAAACCCCGTCATCGTGGTCGACTCCTCTTTGGGTCTCAAGTCTGCCAATGTACATGGTGAGCCACTGGGCAAACTAGTAACAGCGGGGAAAGCCGTCCACACGGAGGTTAGCGGTCAGCTAGTACATATGAAAAACTACTGCGTCAAACCGCTTCAAATCGTTTGTTTTAAAGACAAATGCAGCCATTCGTACTTCTGGCTACATAATTCACGATCTCCAGAAATGTATATAGGGCTACGTTTTCTGATTGAGCCTATTTTAAACATTTTTCAAAGCGTTTGATGTCTCAACCACAAAATAGCTATGTATTTATAATATTTATTAAGCAATTAACTGGATGACATAATGTACAAATAATGCATTATATGTAGATTAATGTATGATGATAGTGTTTAAAGCTATTTAAGAGATCATATACTGTATTATAAAGTACATTTCAACAGTGGTAATCTGTTTAGCTTAAATGAAATTGGAGTGATCCACATATATTGTGCGTTTGGTCGTCGACATGCGTATCAAATGTATTTGACCTTAATCACAAACTTGAATATACTTTCATTTTAAGATGTCGCTTAGATTTAAGTAAAGAGCTGTATACTTTTACACAGCTGCAGCCTAGTACTGGGAAACACCCATACACACTCATTCTCTCTCTCACACACACACATACACTATGGCCAATTTAGTTAATCAACTCCCCTATAGCGCATGTGTTTGGACTCTGGAGGACCTGGAGGAAACCCTCAGCAACATGGGGAGAGCGTGCAAACTCCATACAGAAATACCAACTGACCCAGCCGCGACTCAAACCAGCAGCCTTCTTGCTGTGAGGTAACCACTGAGCCATCGTGTTGCCCAATTTGTGTACTATTCATTGAAGTATGTGTTACATCCTGCTCGTTGGAGCTTGTGTACTGATTTGAGTTGTATTTAACAGATTCTGGATAATATAGTACCGCATGCATAGAGAATAACATACACACTGAATACTGCAGAGGAGGTATGGCATTTCAAAACACAGCCGTTAGTGCTTCACACTCCAGTCCGGTAGGTGTCGGTAGTGCGGCTTTTACTTGGTTTGCCTGCCGCCGCAAAACAACGAGATAAAGAGTCTTCAGAGCTGAGGTGAGTCGTTGACGCTTTTTCTCGTGTTTACACAACAATAAAACACACTTTACAGTTTATTAAAGCGACAATCTGCGACTAGTTTCTGCATTGAGTTCACCTCTATCTGTGTGTCTGCTGACCAAAACAATACAGCAGGCAGAGAGGAGCTCTGAGAGGACAATATGAGTGAATGTGTTTGTTTACTCTGCTTGTTTAAGTTTATCAACGTTTGTGTTTGTAATATCGCAAAGTATGATCTGTGAAGGGAATTTTGGGAATCATCTGCGGCAGATCTATGAAGTTTGCTGCAGAAAACAGCAAATTAACAGTTTGTGGTGCTTTATATTTGGGATAAATGCTTGGTATTTAAACTAGATGTTGATTTGAATGCAAAATCACGTAAACCCTCAGTATATAAGCTGATCTGCCAATCCTGAATGTTTTTGTTTATTTATTTAGTTTTTTTGAATGATTATTTTTTTTTATTTGCAATCAGGACAGTGGTTATAGGTGTCTCATGTCATTATATACAATATTATAGCCAACTATTATACATTCGTCCATCGGCTAGTAATTAAGGTGTTTTGTGAAGGGTAAAATTAACAAAAATTAAAATTAAAGTAAAAAGATGCATCTTTCAAGATACTTTCTCCAAAAACTCGCATAGAGGATTCCAGATATGCCAGAAATCAGCAGAGCCATAAGTCATTTTTTCCGAGGGTAAGAAAATGGCAATCTGATTTATCCACATGTTGACAGAAGGAATGTTAGGAGAGGACCACAACATAATACATTTTCTTGCGAGATATGTACAAAAGTGTAACAGATTCTGAATAGGTTTTCAGTTGTTTTAGTCTGAGGTTCAACCATATTATCAGAGCTGCTTAAATCCTCTCCATGTCAATAGTTCCTACTTTATCCTCATTCATTGTACTGATGTCTTTAGATCCACAAGTTCATCACATGTAGTTAATTTGCTTGATCTCTGCTGACTTGAGAAACTTACAATCACATGATAGATCACCTGCAAGATTTCATCATTCAGTGTAAATGAATCAGATTTCTCTTTCTTCTCCTGAAGCTCTGCCGCCATCAGTGAAAGACAAAGACAGAGTTTATTGAAGGACAGTGAGAAGATGAGTGATCCAGAACCCTGCAGAATTAAACAGGAAGAGACTGAAGAACTAATAGGTTTGCGTTTATTCATTACTCTTCAATAATGAGGCCGAAGAACAGTGAGGTTGTTAATCATTAACGTAGACATTGTGTGTGCTCACAACATTTGTGCTCACAGCATTTGTCATTAAAGTAACGCCAGAGGTAGTTAGTAGATCTGTGTAAAATGCCTGCCACCACAGCTGGAAAAAAATCCTAAAGGAAACACTGACATACATTGTTGCCATTAAATGAATATTTAGTTCAGTAGTTCAGATTAATCAAGTAAAATAAAAATGTTAAAATGCACTAGATTATCAGTGGATGTGCTCAGTGAAGTGATGATCAGTGTACCCTGTCAAAAACTCGCCTTTTATAATGTTACTTGCTTATATTTCAGATGTGATTGTGAAGGAGGAGAGTGAAGAACTGAGTGAAGATGAGGAGAAACATCATGTCAAAAGTGAAACTGAAACTGAGACCAATGCAGAACACAGTATCTTAATGGAAAGCACAACAGTGAAATGTTTCACCTGCACTCAGTGTGGAAAGAGTTTCAAGCACAAATGCTCTCTCAACGTCCACATGAAGATCCACACTGGAGAGAAACGCTACAAGTGTTCACACTGCGAGAAGAGCTTCATTCATACAGGACATTTAAAACGGCACCAGAGGACTCATAGTAGAGAGAAACCGTTTCATTGCACTGCTTGTGGGAAGAGTTTCAAACATTTGTGTTCACTGCAAAAACATTCAGTCAAGCTTCACGGTAAGTAAATCATGCACAGTTCCATTTGTTCCAGTTGTTCAGTATTTCTGGATTTAGTTTCAGTTTGTTCAGTATTACTGGATTTAGCTTCAGTTTGTTTAGTATTACTGGATTTAGTTTCAGTTTGTTTAGTATTTCTGGATTTAGCTTCAGTTTGTTCAGTGTTACTGGATTTAGTTTCAGTTTGTTCAGTATTTCTGGATTTAGTTTCAGTTTGTTCAGTATTACTGGATTTGGCTTCAGTTTGTTCAGTATTTCTGAATTTAGCTTCAGTTTGTTCAGTATTACTGGTTTTAGTTTCAGTTTGTTCAGTATTTCTGGATTTAGTTTCAGTTTGTTTAGTATTTCTGGATTTAGCTTCAGTTTGTTCAGTATTACTGGATTTAGTTTCAGTTTGTTCAGTATTTCTGGTTTTAGTTTCAGTTTGTTCAGTATTTCTGGATTTAGTTTCAGTTTGTTTAGTATTTCTGGATTTAGCTTCAGTTTGTTCAGTATTACTGGTTTTAGTTTCAGTTTGTTCAGTACTTCTGGACTTAGTTTCAGTTTGTTTCATTATTACTGTATTTAGTTTCAGTTTGTTCAGCATTACAGGATTTAGTTTCAGTTTGTTCAGTATTTCTGGATTTAGTTTCAGTTTGTTTCATTATTACTGGATTTTGTTCAGTATTTCTGGATTTATTTAGGATGATGTCAAACACCAGATGGGTATTCTTGTGTGTCCATGTTCGGCGCGTCTTTGTTGTCCTTTAGTATGACATCATATAATCTTACAGTGTGACATGAGTAAAATGTTTATGCTGTCAGACATGCTGCAGTCTTATAAGATTATTAAAAGTTGCACAATGTGAGCCAGGCTTTTACAGTTAAGACTTATATATGGACATCTGCTAGGGCATGCTATAGGAAATGGTTTCACTTGTTACTGTTTCGACTTAATAAGAGGAGTGTAAACTGCACAGGCTTAATGTTTAATGTGTAAAGTTTTGGATGTGTAACGCACAGCCTACAGCAGAGCTAATCCTTTAATGATGTTCATGCCTAATCAACTGTTGAGAAGATGCATTGATTAAAAGAGTTTTCGACATGTTTGTTGATTAGAGAGTTGCGTGCCTAATTTACATCTCTTTCTTAAAACGTAACTGTTTCTTTATTTAATTTTCAGACCTGATTGTGAAGGAGGAGGTGACTGAAGAACTGACTGAAGACATGAAGGACCACCTTATTGTTCATACAAATGAGAAGATACACTCCTGCTCTTGGTGTGGAAAGAGTTTTATACAGCAGTCGCATTTACGAAAACATCAGAGGATCCACACCGGAGAGAAACCGTGCACGTGTCCTCAGTGTGGCACGAGTTTCACACAATCGTCAAACCTTCTTCGACACATGCTGATCCACACTGGAGAGAAAACACACAAGTGTGATCAATGCGGGAAAACATTTTTCAGGCCTTCAGAGCTGACGATCCATCTTAGAGTTCATACCAAGGAGAAGCCTTATTCATGCTCTGAGTGTGGAAAGAGTTTTACACGGCAGACACACTTAAAATCACATCAGAACGTCCACACTGGCGTGAGAGAGTTTGTGTGCTTCATGTGTGAGAAGACTTTTATTAGAGCTGCGGAGTTAAAGCGTCACATGAGGACCCACACCGGAGAGAAACCGTACGTGTGTTCACACTGCAACAAGAGATTCGGTCAATTAGGGGGTCTGAAAACACACGAGAGAATTCACACTGGAGAGAAACCCTACACATGTACTGAGTGTGGGAAGAGTTTCTCACAATTAGCAGGTCTTAATGAACACATGCTGATCCACACTGCAGAGAAAACACACAAGTGTGATCAATGCGGGAAATCATTTTTGAGGCCTTATGAGTTGAACAGACATCTTAGAGTTCATACATAGAACAAGTCTTTGTTAGTAAGAAGTTTTACACATCAACGCAATTCACCTTCCTGAAAACTCTTGTCTGCATTGTCAAAGTCAGATTTCACAGTTAAACTTGTGTATGTTGATGAATTCCAATCATTTGTTAAAGGGTCACGAAACACCAAAACACATGTGTTGAGCTGTTGACATTGGTATATGTGTCCCACACTGCTAAAAACACTATTAGGACACCTATATTTCACTAAAAAGTGTAAATTGGTTGTTTTTGCGTTATTTCAAGCAAATTCGTACTTCCTGTTTAAAACGAATTTTTAAAGCTGCGTCACGGTCATGACATAATAGCGTGTATTCCAGCGTGCAGACTGGACGTCTGTGCCAGAGTGAGTCTTATTACGTCTTACAGTGTGCTGCATTAATGCATGAGTAAGGCTTGGTTCAAACCAATCAGCGCGCTCTATTGTGCAACTTCATTAATATTCATTACTGTCACAGTGCTTAGACGACAGAGACGCCACGTTGTGTTGGCAAAACAAGCGTGAAGTGTTGCTTTTATAGTTTGCTGCAGTTCAGTTTTGTTTTCATTTTCTCTCTGTGAGAGCTCAGCTGGAGTCACGTGTGGATTAACAGTGTACGCGACGCTCAACAACAATAACTTACGTGTCTAAGGAGGAACATTGTTTACCTGAGAGCTGTTCTCATCTGCAAACGCTGAGATCCGGATTCACTTGTAGTCTCCTCTTAATAAAGACGCGGCTCTAGTTGCTGGTGATTGTCCTGTCTCTACAGATTTGGTAAGTGAGCGACCAGTGCTCTTTATTTATTCAGTTTGTTCGTATCGAACTAAGTTAACTATTGCACCGAGTGTAAACATGTTAGCACCACAACCAAACTTTAACCTCGTGTAGGGTTTTTACCGCATTTAGTGACCGGAATAACACACGCGGCTTTCTGACACTACCTGCCGTGTGCATCTAAGTTTCCGGGAAATGCGGAGGGTTTTTCTCTCATTCGCCGTGCGGTATCAAACATTGCTTGAAAAATACACGCTTAGAGCAGTTCCTCAATCAAATATCTCGTTTGTCGGGAGGGACATGAATGAATTCCCTGAATGAAAGAGTCAAACTGCAGTTAAAGTCCAACATTTAATAATTTGGCAAATAATTCCACTACAGATGTCCATGTAAACACCATCACTTTCTCCCCTGCGTGTGTGGTTGTGTGTTTTGACTCTGAAAGTCAGCGCGTGCCCAAATAGACACTCCCACACCATGCCTCTTTTCTTCCTCCGACACTCCCCCCTAAACAGAGCTGGACACGCCCACTTTTCTGACTTTTTCCAAAGTAGAGGTGTGAAAACACCCTGCTGAAACGAGGGGGATTCATGGCCCTTTAATGGGACAACATCTAGCATAACTAGCATAATCCCCACCTGTGTAATCACATGTCCAGCTCTGCAGTGGAATATCCATTGGCTTGACTTCAGTATGTTTGGTAAATGCAGTTAATGCCTAAAAATGTTGGTGGCTCAGTGGCTAGCATTGTCATCTGACAGCAAGAAGGTCGCTGGTTCGAGTCCCAGCTGGGTCAGTTGGCTTTTCTGTGAGGAGTTGCATGTTCTCCTCATCTTGGTGTGCTCCGGTTTCTCCCACAGTCCAAACACATGCGCTATATGGGAAATGAATGAACTAAATTGGCTGTAGTGTATGAGTGTGTTTGGGTGTTTCCCAGTACTGGGTTGTAGCCGGAAGGGCATCCGCTGTGTAAAACATATGCTGGAAAAGTTGGCGGTTCATTTTGCTGTGGCGACCCCTGATAAATAAGGGACTAAGCTGACGGAGAATTAATAAATGAATGTGTATTGCAATGCACTTTGCTAAATGCTAAATTGTATACTTTTATTTTTATTCCATTATTTTCTGTGTTTTTCTCCGATGTGTGAATAAACCTGGCAATAAAGCTATGATTCAGTTTCGAGTCTTTGGTTGTATTTGTAATGGCACACTGGCTTGCTGCCCTATATACAGTACACGACTACAGTGCTGGCTACTAGATTTTAAAGAAAAGTGTGTAAGGCAGTGTGGACTATGTCAGTGTTTCTCAACCACGTTCATTTGGTGAAGGATCACCAAATCTGCATGTTTTGGATATCTCCTTGGTCTGTCAGGTATTTCAGTCTCTGCTTATAAGCTGATAAACTGAGTCAGGTGTGTTTGGTTAGGAAGACATGGAGAATGTGCAGAGCTGGTGGTCCTCCAGGAACGTGGTTGAGAAACACTGCACAATGCAAACATTTTCAACATTGGCTCATTCTGGAAATGTACTGCAATATACATTTCTGGAGAGCGACAAATACGTCCCAGGAGCTACTTTTTTTAGCAGTTTTTGTTATCATGAATCCACAAGAGGCCGCTGTGTACACTTTGATACCTCAAATTTCTCTTGCAAGTGCTGTTTGCGCCTGCTGTTCTTGCGTAAATCTACCATAGGTTGCTGTCGACTGACTGACTTACTGACCAATCGACTGACCCACCCTTTCCCTTCCTTAATCCAACTGATGTTTTAAAATGCACAGATTAACCAGCACCCACCCACTTCCCTAAACCCAACCGACAGTGTTTTCAAAAGCAATCCAGAAAAAGAAAAGCCCTCGCGTCTGCCTGACTTTCACCATGTTTTCAGACTTTTCCACATTCTCACCCTGTTATTTACTTGTTTATTTTACTTTTTGGATTCTGTTTTTGTCTTACCCGCTTTATAGAAGCGTTTTTTCACTGGACTCTGGGTAAACTCCTCTCTGTCTCTCAAGTTTGCCGATGTACATGGCGAGCCACTGGAAACTGGAAAGCCGTCCACACAGAGGTAAGCGGTCAGCTGGTAAGTGCAAAAAGGAATGTCATATCGCCCCCTAGAGTTTGTTTTAAAGACGTAAGGCAGCCATTCATACATCTGGCTAAGTAATTCGCGATCTCCAGAAATGTATATAGGGCTAAGTTTTTAGAATAAGCCTGTTAAACATTTTTCAAAAAGTTGTGCGATACAAGGTTGTAACATGAAATGCTCGCACTGAATGTTATTGTAGCACAGCTACTCAAATTGTTACATTTACAAATACATGTCTCAACCAAAAAATAAATGTATTTATAATTATTACAAAGCGTTTAACAGTATGATGTAATGTACAAATAATGCATTATATTTCAATTAATGTATTACGATAGTATTTAGAGCTATTTATAATATCTTGCACTGTATTATAAAGTACATTTCAACATTGGTAATCCGTTTAGCTTAAATTACATTGGAGTGATCCACATATATGGTGCGTTTGGTCGTCGACATGCGTATCTAATGTATTTGATCTTAATTACAAACGGGAATATACTTTCATTTTAGGATATCGCTTAGATTTAAGGAAAGAGCTGTATGCTAATTGTGTTATGCTATTGTGGAAATATAAATTTATATAATCTATATATAACTGAAAAGTTGTTTTTAGGGTGTCTTGGTACCAAAATGTCTTGGTTTCCTGAACTCTGACTGTCTCCAAAGGAATGCAAATGCAAAGTCGGTCAACTGGTCAGACGGTTTCTGTCTCCAGAACATCATTTGCGCACTGTTTTCATCCACTCTGCAGATTTACATGCTGATGAGATCAGGCATGAAAAGGCAAGTTACCCTGCTGACTCCAAAACTGAATTTGCATGCTTGGTTTAGCCTTCCCTCCTCCTAAGAACAAAATATAGACATGACATCTCTGCCTTAATTCAGACTTGTGATAAAACTCGCAGACTGCAGACCTCCAGTAGGCTCCTGCAGACACGTGGACTTCTTAAAGACGCTGTATGACTGCAGATTAACCAACACGACTCAATAAAAGAAATTCTGCTTGTTTTCGAGTCTCCTGGACTGGGTTCTCTCTATTCACTCATTTATTTTTTTACAACACTTCTAACAAATCTAATGCTTTACAAAAAAATGCACCTTTAATCTTAATCATCAGATGCGGACATCAGATTTCAGCATCAGTAGTAGGTCACCTGGGAATTTCAGACATACAGAAAATGTCTGTATTTATTCATTCATTCATTTTCTTTAGGCTATAGTCCATGTATTCATCACATGTGGAGGGGTCACCACAGTGAAATGAACCGCCAGCTTATCCAACATATATTTTACACAGCTGAGCCCTTCCAGCTGTAACCCAGTACTGGGAAACACCCATAAACACTCATACACTACGGCCAATTTAGTTCTTCAATTCCCCTACAGCACATGTGTTTGGACTGTGGGGGAAACCAGAGCACACCAAGATGAGGAGAACATGCAACTCCTCACAGAAAAGCCAACTGAACCAGCTGGGACTCGAACCAGCGACCTTCTTGCTGTCTGATGATGGAGGGAACCCACTTCAGAACATGCAAACTCCACACTGAAACGCCAACTGACCCAGCCGAGGCTCGAACCAGCAAACTTCTTGCTGTGAGGCAACAGTTCTAACCACTGAGCCACTGGGTCACCCGCTTTGTGTACTATTCATAGTATATATGTCACATACTGCGAATATAGCATGAGTTGGAGCTTGTGTACTGATTTCAGTTGTATTTAACAGATTCTGGAAAATATAGTACTGCATGCATATAGAACATTTGCGTACTAAGAACAAAATACACTGAATACTGTAGTACAGTAAGAGTAGTTTGATGGTATGGCATTTCCAACACAGCCTTTAATGCTTCACACTCCAGTCCGGTAGGTGTCGGTAGTGCACCTTTTTGTTGGTTTGCCTGCCGCCGCAAAACAACGAGATGAAGAGTCTTCAGAGCTGAGGTGAGTCGTTGACGCTTTTTCTCGTGTTTACACAACAATTAAACACACTTTACAGTTTATTAAAGCGACAATCTGCGACTAGTTTCTGCATTGAGTTCACCTCTATCTGTGTGTCTGCTGACCAAAACAATACAGCAGGCAGAGAGCAGCTCTGAGACAACATGAGTGAATGTGTTTGTTTACAGTGTTTGTTTGATTTAATCACCGTTTGTGTTCGTAATATCGCAAAGTATGATCTGTAAAGGGAATTATGGGAATCTACTGTGGCAGATATATGAAGTTTGAAGCAGAAAACAATCAAGTAATAGTTTATGGTGCGCTTCATTTTCAAAAGTTTAAGAAATCCCAGTTTCTGTGCATAGATGGGCTAATGCTAACTAGCAAATAATTTTTTTAGGAATAAATGCTTGGCATTTAAACTAGATGTTGATATAAATGCAATTTAAGTAATTACAATATCAATGATCGTGTCCTGCAAATCCCAGTATATAATAAGCTAATCTGATCCTGAATGGCTTTTAATTTAGTTTTATTATGAGGTTCAGTAATATTATTAGAGCTGCTAAAATCCTCTTTTTTCATGTCAAGAGTTCCTGTTTTTCCATCATTCATTACATTGATGTACTACAAACTTCCACAATAAGTTAATGTTATTGGTGTAACCCGACTTAAGCAAATCAAATATTGTATCACAAGATATAACATCATAATGTGTTTTTTTCCTCAATCAGTGTAAATAAATCAGATTTCTCTTGTTTCTTCTCCTGAAGCTCTGCCGCCATCAGTGAAAGACAAAGACAGAGTTTATTGAAGGACAGTGAGAAGATGAGTGATCCAGAACCCTGCAGAATTAAACAGGAAGAGACTGAAGAACTAATAGGTTTGTGTTTATTTATTACTCTTCAATAATGAGGCTGATGTACAGTCAGATTGTTAATCTTTACCAGGGGTGTTGCTAGACATAAATCTACTAGGGCATGGCCCCCCTTAAGATCCCCCAACCCCCAGTTTATTTTAAAATATTTAATACAAACAAATATAAATATATTATTAGTCTATTTTTTGTCGTAATAATTTATATTTATTCTAAATACAAACATTATTATTAATGTACAATTACTGTTCTAAATAAATAACAGAAACCAACCCTAAATGTAACTCACTGTAAAGACACAACTGTAGTGATATGCTAAGATCACTTAAGAAATCTCTTGCATGAATATTAATTATGACAATTTAGTAGAATACAAAACAATGTGTTTTCTAGAGTTATCTGTTGTCTTATGCGGTGTTCACACCAGACGCGGAACGCATGGATAAATTGCGCTACTTGCACGTAAATAGCCGCATGGACATTTGCGTTTACTCGCTTCATATGCGCGTCAAACCCCGCTTCATTCGCGCGTCAAATTCCCTTAAGAACAGAAGCGGATTCGCGTGATGGGCAGGGCTTTTGTCTGCCCTGTGACTGTAGCTTCGTTGCTAAAAGGCTAACATGGATTTTATGAAGAAAACAGCGTCGATATGTTTAGGGTCCTGTCTGAGTCCACTACATGCTTTCAGAGGTGCATCCAGCTCTGTGAGCTCATAAATTCCTCCAGAAACTGAACCTGGATAACGGAGGCTTTCAGCGGTGCTTCTGACTGAGCCCAGCCCAGTTTGATGACTTGTTGTCGGTGTCACCTGGAGGATTTCCCCCGGGACACCATCAACAGGTTCTACGTCACAATCACGCCCCCACAAGAGCAAGCTTCTGATTGGTTAATGCGGTGCGAATGTCCGCTAAAGTTCAGATTTTCGAACTTGAGAGATTCGCGCAAACGCTCAATAAGCGTGTCAAACGCGCAAAACGCTCAATTTGCCCCGCGCCATTCGCGCGTATCGCACTATTCGCACCACGCCATTCGAGGGTATCGCACTATTCGCACCGCGCCACAAGATGTCTATTTGCACGTTTGCATTGACGCAGCATCAGGCCCAACAAATTAATGTTATTAAGTCTTTCCTCCCTGACTCACCATCCCTCTTTTCAGCGTCATAGCCATGCTTTGCCAAAATAAGATCATCATCATCATATTTTTTCAACTTTAGGGGCCCTATCATACACCCGGCGCAATAAAAGGCGCAAGACATGAATGGGTATGATTTGTTGCTATTTTCAGACCAGCACAAGCCTAATTTCATGTGTTGCGCCACGTTGATTAAATAGCAAATCCATTTGCGGCACTTTGTGGACTCATGGGTGAGCTGGTCTATAAAGGAGGTGTGTTAAGTGCATTGTTGGAGCGATTTTGAGGAACTGAAATAGGCCGCACCATTGACCAACTAAACGCTGCTCTAAAGTCCAGCACAGAGCACGTTAGTTATGCGCCTATGCATGTTCAAACACTTACCCATTGCTTAATACACACAGGATGAACAGCAAAACACAAATATCTTTACAGATGAAAGAGAATTAAAGGATTAAATTGTTACAAAAATGGTTATTTTCTACATCAATATAAACACCACTGCCTTCATGCCTTCGTCACCTCGGGGTCTTTTCTTAGTTTATTCATGACTATTTGCATTTTTTAATGTTATTATTATTATTATTACCATCTGTGTGGTTTTGGAGACGTCTGCATAACCACATGTGGATATGAGCAGGACGTGTGTTTATATAAATCTCAGTTTTTTGACCACACTTCATTTTTATTGTTCATTTATTCCTTTGCTGGAGATTAGAACTGAATTTAGAAATAGTTTGGAAACAAATCTTTGCGTTTAACAAACTAAGTTAATTATGTGGGCTAATGGATGTCTTCAGTCGAGTGAGTGTCTACAGTTTTCTTACTCCACCAAAGTAAAGAGTAAAAGTAAAGAGGCTGAATGGAGGAGGCTCGTTCTTTATCCTCGCGCTGCAGATGCTCTGTTTAACTGTTTTCTCGCTAGTAAAGCGTTCAGTTTATCCACTTACAAAGTCACCATGTAAATAGCAGACTCTTAAAGGGAATGGGAGATTCCTGCATAAAAGGCTGTTACTCTGGTTTCACAAAGCATGAGCTCCACATATTTTATCAGCGTGCGTGTAAACAACCGGGATCCACACCGAGAGCGGAAGCGGCACATGTTAGGTGCACAGGAATGATTTTCTGCACGCATACATCAGTTTGTTTTCAAGTAAACTACAGTACATTGCTTTCACCAGCGTTGTTTCGGTTGCACATAGAGAATAAAGGGGCGCGCTCCATCGGAAATAACGAACATGATGGCAAATGTGAAATGGCCCCTAACATCTTTATTTATACATCTTTATTACCACTCTAAATTAATACACTTGCATGAAGTAAATCATATCTCAAATTTTTACTGGGGCATGTGCTCCAGTAACTGGGGTCTGGCGATACCCCTGATCTTTACAAATTTGTGATTGTTGTATCTTGTTAAAAACTCGCCTCTTAAAATGTTACTTTCTTATTTTTTAGATGTGATTGTGAAGGAGGAGAGTGAAGAACTGAGTGAAGATGAGGAGAAACATTATGTCAAAAGTGAAACTGAGACAAATGCAGAACACAGTATCTTAATGGAAAGCACAGCAGTGAAAGGTTTCGTCTGCACTCAGTGTGGAAAGAGTTTCAAGCACAAATACACTCTCAACGTCCACATGAAGATCCACACTGGAGAGAAACGCTACAAGTGTTCACACTGCGAGAAGAGCTTCATTCATTCAGGACAACTGAAACAGCACCAGAGGACTCACAGCAGAGAGAAATCTTTTCACTGCACTGCTTGTGGGAAGAGTTTTAAACATTTGTGTTCACTGCGAAAACATGCAATGAAGCTTCACAGTAAGTAAATCATACAAAGTTCCAGGGCTCCATTAAAGGGACATTTTTAGATGCTCGGTGTAGCATATCAATGTAAATAAAATACCATGAAAAAACTCTACCCAGCAGCTTTTTCACAACCAGAACAGAATTTAAAAAATTGCCACAGTTTGTTCAGTATTTCTGGATTTAGTTTCAGTTTGTTCAGTATTACTGTATTTGAAAGGGGTCTGGATGGAGACCTGATGCAGTGCAATCTGAGCTGCATCCAATGCTTTTTAATGCGCTCACCTAACCCTACCCATCACAATGACATTACTCACTCTATTGAGTGCATTGTGTCTGAGATTGCATGGCTGAATGATGCAATCTCAGCTTGCATCATAAAGGCTGCATCCAGATACTATTGCTAGATTCAGTTTCAGTTTGTTCAGTGTTACTGGATTTAGCCTCAGTTTGTTCAGTATTACTGGATTTAGTTTCAGTTTGTTTAGTATTACTGGATTTAGCCTCAGTTTGTTCAGTGTTACTGGATTTAGCCTCAGTTTGTTCAGTATTACTGGATTTAGTTTCAGTTTGTTCAGTATTACTGGATTTAGCCTCAGTTTGTTCAGTATTACTGGATTTAGTTTCAGTTTGTTCAGTATTACTGGATTTAGCCTCAGTTTGTTCAGTATTACTGGATTTAGCCTCAGTTTGTTTAGTATTACTGGATTTAGCCTCAGTTTGTTCAGTGTTACTGGATTTAGCCTCAGTTTGTTCAGTATTACTGGATTTAGTTTCAGTTTGTTCAGTATTACTGGATTTAGCCTCAGTTTGTTCAGTATTACTGGATTTAGTTTCAGTTTGTTCAGTATTACTGGATTTAGCCTCAGTTTGTTTAGTACTTCTGGATTAAGTATCAGTTTGTTAAGTATTTGTTTAGTATTTCTCATTTTGTTCAGAATTTCAGGATTTAGCTTCAGTTTGTTTGGTATTAGTTTTTGGTATTAGTTTGGTATTGTTCTTATATTATTGTTGAGGCATGTTAATGTGAGCAAAACTACAGATTGTTTATTTTTGCTGTGAGGAGTCTTTTCAGAACGTGAGTTAATAAATGTGTCACGGATATATGACGTCAAACTCCTGATGACTTATCTTACGTTTCTGAGTTTGGCGCGTCTTCATTGTCTTACAGTGTGACATGGGTATGATTATTAAAAATTGCACCGTGTGAGCCGGACTTTACAGTCAAGTCTTGTATGGACACCTGGCAGTGACATTGAATCCAAAATGGTGTAAATGCTTTCACTTGTTACTGTTTAAACTCAATAAGTGGAGCATGAACTGCACAGGTTTAATGTTTAATGTGTGAAGTGTTGGATGTGTAACGCACAGCCTACAGCAGAGCTAATCCTTTAATGATGTTCATGCTTAATCAACTACATTGATTAAAAAGGTTTTCGACAGTTAATCGATTGTTGATTAGAGAGTTGCGTGCCTAATTTACAACTCTTTCTTAAAACGTAACTCTGTTTCTTTATTAAATTTCAGACCTGATTGTGAAGGAGGAGGAGACTGAAGAACTGACTGAAGACATGAAGGACCACCTTATTGTTCATACAAATGAGAAGATACACTCCTGCTCTTGGTGTGGAAAGAGTTTCATACAGCAGTCGCATTTACGAAAACATCAGAGGATCCACACCGGAGAGAAACCGTGCACGTGTCCTCAGTGTGGCACGAGTTTCACACAATCGTCAAACCTTCTTCGACACATGCTGATCCACACTGGAGAGAAAACACACAAGTGTGATCAATGCGGGAAAACATTTTTCAGGCCTTCAGAGCTGACCATCCATCTTAGAGTTCATACCAAGGAGAAGCCTTATTCTTGCTCTGAGTGTGGAAAGAGTTTTACACGGCAGACACACTTAAAATCACATCAGAACGTCCACACTGGCGTGAGAGAGTTTGTGTGCTTCATGTGTGAGAAGACTTTTATTAGAGCTGCGGAGTTAAAGCGTCACATGAGGACCCACACCGGAGAGAAACCGTACGTGTGTTCACACTGCAACAAGAGATTCGCTCGGTCGGGTGATCTGAAAATACATGAGATGATCCACACTGCAGAGAAACCCTACACATGTACTGAGTGTGGCAAGAGCTTCACTAGAATATTATACATTTACAAACACATGAAGAGCCACACTGGAGAGAAAACAAACACGTTCGATCAATTATGCTGAACATTTCTGGTGGCTGAAGGATCATATTCAATTTCATGTAAAGCTACATTGATTTCCTTTGCTAGTAAAGAGTTTTACATCAGATTTCACTGTAAAAAGTGTGTATCCTAATGGGATAGTTCAACCAAAAATGAAAATGTACACTATTTACTCACTCTCAGGAGGTTCAAAACTTTTATTCAGTTCTATTAATCTTTATTTCTATAGCACTTTTACAATGTAGATTGTGTCAAAGCAAGTCTAGTAGATTGAAACAGTGTCAGTCCAGTTTTCAGAGTTGAAGCTCAGTTTAGCTCAGTTCAGTGTGGCTTAATTTTCACCGCTGATAGTCCAAACACTGAAAAGCAAATCCATCGATGAGTTTTCGACAGTTAATCGATTGTTTAGAGAGTTGCGTGCAGAATGGTCTTTGTTTGCATTCTGTCAACATCAAAATCTGCAGGACATCCACAAGTCTCAAACCATGTAAGCCAGTGGCGACAAACTTCACCAATCGATGAAAGTGAAGAAAAAAACAAAACCTAGAAAGAAACCAGGCTCTGTTGGGCACGACCATTTCTTCTCTGGCAAAACTTTTTGTGCAGAGCTGCAGTCTAGGCACTGGAGAACGCTGGACGTCCATCGTGGAGAAGCTGCAGATGTGAGTAGGTCACCGGTGGTTGAGTTTCTTTCATCTGCTCAACACAAACAGATATGGTAAAGAAATGTGAGAACCTCTAACCATTGACTTCAATCGTAGGAAAAGCTAATACTATGGACCTCAGTGGTTACAGGGTTTTTATCTTTCTTCAAAATAACTTCATTTGTGTTCAACAGAAGAAATAAAGTCATAATGGTTTGGAGCCATTTATGCAGGGGTGTCCAAACTCAGTCCTGGAGGTCTGGTGTCCTGCAAAGTTTAATTCTAGCCCCAATCTGACACACCCGGGCAAGCTAATCAAGCTCTTACTAGGCTTTCTAGAAAATGTGCAGGACACCAGCCCTCCAGGACCGAGTTTTGGCACCCCTGACTTAGGCTAAAGCCCCTTCAGCAAGGCGATGCCCTGAACTGGACTTAATTCACTAAGTGGTGCACCTCATAAAGAACCCTAAGCTTGCCTGGTGAGGCAGGGTGACTTGTTATGAGAACCAGGCTTGGGTATATATCCAAGATTTCTACCACTCCCTTTAGAAGTCAGATAGCGAACCTGCTAGTGCATTGATTTTCCTTTCCCTGATTTTGTAATGCTCGTCCTTGATAGTGATGGTCTTTGTTTGCATTCTGTCAAAATCTGCAGGTCACCAGCCCTTTGAGTTTGGACACCACTGCACTAGAGGAAGAGTAAAGGATATTAGAATATACATTTTTAGGGTGAACTATCTCTTTAATTTCAGTCATTTGTAAATAGGTAACTCTCAATCAGAGTAAGCTGTAATTTATAGGCGGAGATTATGCAAAGTAATTGCATGTGCAGAAACTATCTATGGCTAAAATATGTTCAATAAAACTGTCAATCTAAATGTTTTTATCCAGTTTCTAAATCTCAGGCACTCTTCAATAAATGTGCAGCTGGTGGCGCTTGAGAACACCAGATGATTTGGTTGCTATGCTTTGCATTCCATGACCGAGGGTACCCTTTTGGGGGGCGTGGTGTACAACTGAAAGTTTCAGTCGATGTCATTCTCATTTGAGGACATGTCTACAGTAAAGCTCAACAGGTCGTTCACATATCATGTAAGCAGCACTTCTCACAACACAGATGCTTTATACACGCAAACACTTGTGTATAAATGTTCATTACTAACTTTTCTATGAACAGGATTTGATTATAACTGCGGATCAATGACAGTGTGAAATAGCCTACTGTAACGTCTGCATATATATTAAATACATAAATTAACATATATAAACACATACAGAGCCTTACAGTCTCCAATATGTTACCAACTACAGAAAAACTACACAGAGCAGACATTTAGTCTCCTGATCATGCAGGGCCCATGCCCTGCGAGCCCGTCTGCTACGCCACTGTGTGACAATACAAAACAATATTACTGCTTCAGACATATGGACATATTGGATAATTAGGCAAAGTCACCGCACATACAACTTGATCTCCCATTGTTGAATTTGGTAAAAAGTGTGCAACATTTTAACACAAGAAAGTATGTTTTTTACATAATATACTGCAACGGCCCCTTTAAATATGAGATTAATGCAGCGAATTTTGACGCTCTTGCTGCCTAAGCTGAAGATAGACAGCGTTGTCGCCAGAGCGACGTTTGACGCTCTCGCCGCTTTCAGTGTGAACTTACAGTTATTGAAGTATCTCTCCATCTAATATTTATTTAAACTTGCTCTTTATTTTTAAAACTAACTGGATACATTTATGTTATACGAGCAATCCCTGCTGAAAAAAAACTGCTTGGCTGGTTTTAGCTCAGGGGTGTCCAAACTTTTTGGGCCGAGAGCCAGATGCAAAAAAACAAGCGTTGTCGCGGGCCAAATTTTACATACATCACACACACGCATATATATATATATATATATATATAAAATATATATATATATATATATATATATATATATATATATATATATATATACAGTTGAAGTCAGAATTGTTAGCCCCCCTAAATTATTAGCCCCCGTTTATTTTTCCCCAATTTCTGTTTAACGGAGAGAAGATTTTTTTCCCACACATTTCTAAACATAATAGTTTTAGTAATTCATTTCTAATAACTGATTTATTTTATCTTTGCCATGATGACAGTAAATAATATTTGACTAGATATTTTTCAAAACTCTTCTATACAGCTTAAAGTGACATTTAAAGGCATAACTAGGTTAATCAAGTTAACTAGTCAAGTTAAGGTAATTAGGCAAGTTATTTTATAACAATGGTTTGTTCTAAAGACTAAAGGGGCTAATAATTTTGACCTTAAAATGGTTCATAAAAAATTTAAACTGCTTTTTATTCTAGCCGAAATAAAACAAGTCTTTCTCCAAAAGAAAAAATATTATCAGACATACTGTGAAAATGTTCTTGCTCTGTTAAATATCATTTGGGAAATATTTAAAAAAGAAGAAATAAATCAAAGAGGGGCTAATAATTCAGACTTCAACTGTGTCTAGATAGACAGACAGACAGACAGACAGATAGATAGATAGATAGATAGATAGATAGATAGATAGATCATAACAAGAACCGCTGCTTAATTGAATGCATATAATAGCGACACCCGGTGGTTATTTATTAAATTACGTTCATTTTTGTATAGCGGGCCAGATTCTATTGATATTTATAAAAAGCCTCGCGGGCCGCCACAAAACAGATTGCGGGCCGCAGATGGCCCGCGGGCCGTAGTTTGGACACGCCTGTTTTAGCTGGTTGATCAGCCATTTTTTTGAGTGGTTTTGTTCCTTTATGGGCTGGTTTTCAGCCTGGTCTTCAGGCTGGAAAATGACCAGCTAAAACCTGCTTGTCCAGCCTGGATTAAGCTGGACATAGCTGTTTTTGGCTGGGCTCCCAGTCCCATCCTTGTTAGATTGGTCGAGCGGGATTTAGCGCGATTTAGCTGGTCATCTCTCAGCCTGACCAGCAAAGACCAGGCTGGAAATAGCCAAAACCCCTCTAAAACCATGCTGGTCAACCAGCTAAACCAGCCAACCAGCCTAGACTGGTTTAAGCTGTTTTTTTTTTTTTAGCAGGGATGACTTATATTAAACATTTTATTTTACATTTAAACAAGAAGTTTTGTTTCTTGACCGATAATTGTACACATTTTTAATTTTTAAGAGTCTTACAGTATTTCACCACACATTAAAATTAAGATGTCTTTTTTTGTACTTTGTTGTTCGGTGCGTTGATTCGCCGTTGCTTCCGCCTCGCTGTGATGACGTCAGCTCTGACGCGTTCATTCAGCGTCGAGTCTTCAGAGCTGAGGTGAGTCGTTGACGCCTTTTCTCGTGTTTACACAACAATAAAACACACTTTACAGTTTATTAAAGCGACAATCTGCGACTAGTTTCTGCATTGAGTTCACCTCTATCTGTGTGTCTGCTGACCACAACAATACAGCAGGCAGAGAGCAGCTCTGAGAGGACAATATGAGTGAATGTGTTTGAGTTTTACATGTTTGTGTCAGTAATATGGCTTTGTATGATCTGTGATGTCTCTTCATCCGACTTTTCATTCGACTGTCTGCTTGGTTTGTCCTGGGCTTTACACGCACCACTTAAATGTACACTCAAAGGCTCATGAATAACACTGTGTCTGTTTTTATTTGTCACTAACCCAACAGTCTATCTGAAGGATTTCATTTTTCAACAGTTTAAATAATTACTGCAGGAGCGGTTCTAGTTTTTTATGGCACCCTGGGCGAAACCACCTCAAACATCCCCTTCCCTATCCCCCATGAAATAAAGACACTATGTGGATGACTTTACATAAATATTAAATAATAAATCTTTATTTTTATATATACATTTCAGATAATTATTATAAATACATCTAAGTATGTTTATTTACTTTCAATAAATATAGCAATTTATTATTATTAATATTATACAATTATTATTCTAAATAAATAACAAATCAATCCTAAATGGAACTGAAAAAACAATGTAAAAACACAACTGGAGTGATGTTCTAAGTCTTTTGCATGAATATTAATTATGACAGATGTATAGAGTACAAAGCATAGATGTTTTATAGAATTATTCTGTTGTCTTAGACCCGACTTATGGTCGAGAATTAATGTTATGAATTCTTAGTTACCGCTCTGACTCATTATTCCACCTTTCTGCTTCATAGCCATGCTTAGTCAAAGTAACATCATCATCATATGATGTGAACTTTAGTTTTGACTTGCATACCAGCGTGCATGTACAGTAAACAATTGGGATTAATAGCGGCATGTGTGAGGCGCATGGGAATGGCTTTCTGTGCATATGCATCACTTTGTTTTCACCAGGGTTGTTTCGGTTGCACATGGAGAATAACAAACTTGCACAAGCAAAAGACGCCAAATGTGAATAGCCCCAAACATCTTTATTCTGGGATAAACACTTTAAATAATACACTTGCATAAAGGAAATCTTATCTCAAAGCTTTTCTGTTGCACCATCTCCCCAGCAAGATGCTGCCCTGGCCAATCGCCCATGCCTAAATCCACCACTGATTACTAGCTTCTAAACAAGATATTGATTTATTGTAATTGATTTATTATGCAAGCAGTATAAAATGAGCTGATCCGCTGCTGATCATGAATGGCTGTTTAATGAGTGTTTAATGAGGCTTATCAATATTATCATAGCTGCTGAAATCCTCTTTATTCATGTCAATAGTTGCTGTTTATCCCTTGTTCATTACACTCATAGATATATACACTAGATGTCGCCTGGCCTATTGTTGTCTATTGGACGGAATGCGTCAATAGCGCCGCCATCTTGCTACAGGGTAGCGCTCCTTTGAAATGAATGCGGGACCAAGGTACAGTGGAGGACTGTGGCCATCCAAAGCCAGAGATATACACATATACACATATATCTATGATCGGGAGTTTTCCTGGATGTTAGTACGTAATTTTTTTTTTTTCTAATTACGAAAATTATATTTTTACATCACTTTTCTATATTGATGGATCAGTGACCGCACGGGCATTCCTGACAAAAAGCTTGTGTTTGTGTGGAGAGAAATGTACTATCCACCCTCCGTGTTAAATTTGATCTAATCATGTCCTGAAACACAGCTCCTCTCCTGCTTTCACTCCTCATACTGACGGAGAGAGCGATTCGCTTGTGAATGAATCCCCCGAACGACTCTTTCACTAACGTTAGCCGACAATAATACAAGTTTCTGGCAGCGCAGCATCTCGTTGTCATATTTCTTTTGCATTGTTTGCTGATTATATTCAACAAAACTAGCATAAGCCGAGTGTTTAGTGCGAGTTGGAGCTGCTTTGGCGTATGGTGAATGCAGTAAGTGACTGTTATCATCAATAACGTTACCTGATTAGCACAAAAGTTCAGAACATACAAAAACAGAAAAAAACATAATATTACCTATGAAATGTTTTGCCTTTGTGCTTTGATTTCTTTGTTTGCTCGTTTCTACACCCGTAGACATTGCTAAAGTCCCGCATCTTCACGTAATAACACTGTTTGACTAGTGCGGTTGAATGACATTTTTCCTGGGAGCACTGTACCAATGTGGCGGCTCTATTGACGCATGCTCAGGGTCCCTATGCGAGATCTAGTGTATATATCTATGCATTACACTAATGTCTTACAATCCACAAATTGCAAGATTGAGTTATTTTTAATAGTCCCAGCTGACTTAAAATCACATTGTCACCTACAAGGTATAAATATAATATGTGTTTATTTCCTCAATCAGTGTAAATGAATCAGATTTCTCTGTTTCTTCGTCTGAAGCTCTGCCGCCATCAGAGTTTATTGAAGGACAGTGAGAAGATGAGTGATCCAGAACCCTGCACAATTAAACAGGAAGAGACTGAAGAACTAATAGGTTTGTGTTTATTCATTACTCTTCAATAATGAGGCTGAAGAACAGTGAGGGTGTTTATCTTTAAGCACTTCATCAGTTTTCGTGTTATTCTTAATTTAGATCTTAAGTGTAGAATATGAAACCTGAATAAATTGTAGGGTTGGGCGATGTTGACCAATTTGGCCTCGTACGATGTCTAATCACGATGGACGATGCCATCGTAGGGGGGGCGGGGGTGGTGGTTGTTAAATATCAATTAATTCATGACAAATTAATTAATTGTCGCCTACCCTTTTCACTACCTGAACCACATGGTATTAGCTTTACCTATAACCAAACCATAAAAGTAACACACAAATAACCACCTGTCAGTCACTTTTTTTCCCCGCGGGACTCGAATACGCAGTGATCTGTGTCCTTATAATGGCTTTTCCCACAGCTGGTGGAGGAGACGAGAGTTCGGTTGGAGTTCACTGTAGTGCAAACATTTTCACTGTTTTCACTGTAAAATCCTCACTGCGTGCGCAGATTTAGGAGACATTTATGCAGAGTGCATCTTTGCACCTTAAAACGCTTAACGCAGCACTCAGGAACAGATAAACACTTGGTATGTAAACTTGCTGAAGTCAAAAGCCTGCAATGCTTGCCCCGCCTTTGTGCTCTTTTTATTGGCTCACTGCTCTAGAACTGAACGCGAATGATTGGTTAATATCAGCTGTCAATCACTCAGTCAGTGCCTTCTGCCTTCAGATGACTGAGATACAACTGCGAAAATGTGAAGATGAGAGAATGAAAATAACACTGACAGATTTACCTACAGTTACTAATAATGGCACATCTGATTAGTGATCATGTGCTGAATGTTAATCCACCATTTACACGTTACAAAGAGTGGATTAAAGACTTCCAGTGGCTTCAAGTCTGCTATGAAAGTAGCTAAAGCCGTTCACTGTAAAGTCTGTGGGACGGGGTTTACAGGTAACAGCGTTTGACACTGAATCTACATATGTTAAGCGTGAGAGGTGCTGTATAATCCTTCATTTAATCCTCACCATGCTGTCAGCCGTGCAAGCGGCAGCTATATGTAACATTTAACACCGCTCGAGATAAGACCGTTATTGTTATTAAGATGACATGCAAATGATAAGTTATATATCAGTATAAATGTGGGGCGGGGTGATGGATCGTGATGCCGGCTCAGCATCGTGAAGATTTTCAGCCATCTGTGATGGATGATGGCATCGTCTATCGGCACAACCCTACTAAATTAATGTTACATGAACAAAATTATTGCATGTTCTCCCTGCATTCGCGTGGGTTACCTCCGGTTTCCCCCACAGTCCAAAGACATGCGGTACAGGTGAATTGGGTAGGCTAAATTGTCCGTAGTGTATGAGTGTGTGTGGATGTTTCCCAGAGATGGGTTGCGGCTGGAAGGGCATCCGCTGCGTAAAAACTTGCTGGATACGTTGGTGGTTCATTCCGCTGTGGCGACCCCAGATTAATAAAGGGACTAAGCCGACAAGAAAATGGATGAATGAAAGAATGAACAAAATTATAAGTCTCTCATGTCTATGTATAGGCCGAAACATCTTGTTTTTAAGTGTATAAAAGCCAATGTGCGAATATATTTGACCACTTACACATCTCAAATGCGCTTATTCATGATCTTTTGACTGTACGGATAAAATATAACATTTTCTTATTTTTCAGATGTTATTGTGAAGGAGGAGAGTGAAGATGAGGAGAAACATCCTGTCAAAAGTGAAAGTGAAACTCACTCACATACAGAGCAAAGTTTTTTAATGAAAAGAACAGGCAAAAATGTGTTCACCTGCACTCAGTGTGGGAAAAGTTTCAAATGCAAACAGAACATCAAGTTTCATGTGATGATCCACACCGGAGAGAAACCACACCGATGTCATCACTGCGACAAAACCTTTTTTAGGCCTTCAGATCTGAAGAAACATCTTAGAGTTCATACGAAAGAGACGCCTTGTTCGTGTCCTTCATGTGGGAAGAGTTTTACACAGCATTCAAGCTTAAGTAAACATCAGAAGATCCACACTGGTGTCAGAGAGTTTGTGTGCTTTGAGTGTGAGAAGACTTTTATTACAGCTGGAGCTTTGAAAAAGCACCAAAGGATTCACACTGGAGCGAAACCATATGTGTGTTCACACTGCAACCAAACATTCAGACATTCAGGAAATCTGAAAATACATGAGAGGACGCACACTGGAGAGAAACCGTTCGCTTGTACTGAGTGTGGGACGAGTTTCAGACACTCATCAGCCCTTCGTCGGCACATGCTGATCCACACTGGAGAGAAAAGACACAAGTGTGATCAGTGCGGCAAAATATTTTTGAGGCCTGCACAGCTGAAGAAACATCTTAGAGTTCATACATAGCAGAAGACTCTAATGCCGAGTTCAGACTGCATGATTTTCAGAGTAGTCGTGTCACAGATGTTTTCACACTGCTTGACTATCTGGGCTAGTGTTTGTCGCTGCTTTGTTTACACTGCAAGATGGATCAGGGACTTTCACATTGCATGACTTTACTATAAGAAGAATCGCCGACAACTTCATGCAAACTATGTCTCACAGCCAAAAACACGTTGTATATCTTTTGTTATTAACTACATAATGAGACAGAAGCCTTTAATGGGGTAGAAAATGTGCATATTTGCTCACCTGGGTTTAAAGGGAATTAGCCATTTCTCCTCAATGTTGATAATAAACTGATTTCTTTCTGTATGAAACGTTAAACAGACACGGTTGCTCCTGAGTCCTGTCAAACCTCCACTAGTTTTTCCTCCATTTCGTGGGTCCAAATAAACCGAAAATGAGCGCTTTTAACTTCTCCCCCAGCCTCCCGCTGGCCTGCAGCAGGTATACACACACGCACGCGCACACACACACAAGTGATTGCCGCTCTCTCATTGGCTGTAGGCGATCGCTGATGTTATTTTCAGTTAAAACTCAATTCACACGGCATGATTTGATTCGACGACAGCTCCAGATATTCAGCACGCCTAATATCTCACAGGCATCGGCGACTCATCGGCGATTCTCTCAGATCGCGTCTTTGATCGTTCATACTGTGTGATTGTCACTCACGTGCACGAGCAGCGATTTGTCTGTGATTTCAGGCATTTGTCGGCGATTTCTCAAAACCTGTCGGTGAGCCAAAATCGGGGCTAAAATCACGCAGTCTGAACTCTGCATTAGTTATCTATTATATAGGCTTTTTTGCATCCAAGTGTTTTTATTCAGCTTCAAAATCTCAGGCGCTCTTTTAATAATGTCCATCTGGGGGCGCTTTAGCGCAGTGTATTCAGTGTCTCAAATCAAATGCTACAAATCAACCGTTAAGGTCAAAGAAACACTCCATTTGCACCGTTTTATTTGCATCACATGATGTCTAATCATGTTTTTGCATTGAATTAACATGTAAATCACTCAAACTTAATGCTTCATGTCCGTCTAGTGTGAACACAACATTAAGGTTACATCACTATAGTACATTGAAGCACTATGAGTCGACTCTTATAAATGAATCAATAGTTGTAAACACTGTCCGCTTTCAGATTTTAGCCTTAGCTCAATATTTAACTTCACTTTGAGCTGTGTTACACACTACATAAAAGGTAATTCTCAAAAACCTGTAATAGAGGCTCTTTAATCAAAACATGAACAGGGCGGGGCATAGTGAAGCCCCTCCCCCTTTAAAAAACTGCCAATAGTGTTTGTTTTTTACAGCTCTGCCAAGTGAGAGTGTTTGAGCTCAAGCGCATCAAATGAAAACCCAATGAGAAGAAGGGGGCAGGGCATGTCAGACACGAAAGCATTTGATTGGTCAGATTTGATGAGAAACTAAAGTATGGGGTGACATCAAATAAACATTGATCCATTTAGGTGGAAATGACAAACTGCATGATTTGGATGTTTATATTTACGTTTGTATCTTCAAAAACGTGAATTTTGTCAACGTTTTGGCACAAACTGGATTACCGAAATCCTTAAAACACACATACTGATACTAACATCTGATTAAACATTCACTTTACGGGACCTTTAAGTCAAACTCTTGTGAGGAGAGTCTGAACCACTCTTAGCGATACCTTATCACACAACTCTTTTAATTTGTAATACACACATTGTTTAATTAGGCTATTTTCAGGCGACATGGTGGCTCAGTGGTTGTCACTGTCACCTCACAGCAAGAAGGTTGCTGGTTCGAGCTTGGGCTGGGTCGGTTGGCATTTCTGTGTGGAGTTTGCATGTTCTCCCCGTGTTGGCGTGAATTTCCTCCGGGTGCTCCGGTTTCCCTCACAGTCCAAACACATGCACTATAGGGGAATTGATTAACTAATTTGGCCGTAGTGTATGAGTGTGTGTGTGTGTGTTTGAATGAGTGTGTGTGGGTGTTTCACAGTACTGGATTGCAGTTAAAAGGGCATCCGCTGTGTTAGACATATGCTGGATAAGTTGGCGGTTCATTTCCCTGTGGCGACCCCTGATGAATAAAAGGACTAAGCTGAAGGAAAATGAATGAATGACTATTTAATCACCCTTAAGTGTTTACAAACCTTTATGAGTTTCTTCGTTTGAACACAAAAGAAGATAATTGGATGAAAGCTGAAACCCTGTAACCATTGACTTCCATGGTAGGAAAATCAAATACTATGAAAATTAATGCTTTCAGTTGTCCTAAAAGTGTCTTTTTTTCAGGACAGAAGAAACAAACTCAAACAAGTAAAGGGACAGTAAATGAGTACATCATTATCATTTTTGGGTGAACTGCCCCTTTAAGTCAACAGTTCCTCGCAGTACTACCATTCACGTCAAATAATTCAGCACCATGGACAGCACCTCGCAACGTCGTCCGTACCGCCCCGCCTCGCCGTGATGACGTCAGCGCTGACGCGTTCACTCAGCGTCAAGTCTTCAGAGCTGAGGTGAGTCGTTGACGCTTTTTCTCGTGTTTACACAACAATAAAACACACTTTACAGTTTATTAAAGCGACAATCTGCGACTAGTTTCTGCATTGAGTTCACCTCTATCTGTGTGTCTGCTGACCAAAACAATACAGCAGGCAGAGAGCAGCTCAGTGTTTGAGTTTTCGATGTTTCTGTTATATGGCAAAGTATGATTTGTGAATGGTAATCTTTTGATATATTAACTGAAGTAGAAAACTGTAAATAAGGAGTTTTTGATGCTTTAATTGTTTGAGTGAAGTTTTTAAAAGTTTATTTTGTTTCACTGTTTCTGTGCATGAATGCTACTGCTAACAATCTGGTTGCTTAATTGGTTTAAAACGTGGTATTTAAACTAGATATTGATATAAATACTTTAAAAAAAATAAATACAATAGTTTATCCTACAAACAGTTATGAAGCTAATAATATGCCAAAACAATCTGAATTTGAATTGTGTTCACGTGAATTATCGACGATTGTAATTTAATAAATGAGCATTTTTATATACGGTTAAAAATTGTTTTGAATTTCTTAACTTGAATATTGAACATCTGAAATGTAAGACAGCTGAATTTTTCAAGGCAGTAATTTTCATTTTTTGTGTTCTGAATCGACAGACTGCAGATGTTGGGTTTGTAAAAACACAGTTTTAAATTTGCAATATGAAAAATTTCAGAACATCAAACTGAACATCCTAAAATTCAAAACCAGAAATTCATATCGTAAAATTTAGATTCAGCAGAAAGTAGATCAGGGGTGACCAACAGGGTAGAGTGGACGATGACCGAAAAGTCCAACAAAGAATCACCCGCCTCTGCTTGATTCATAGTTATAGATGAATTACAGGATGTGAATTACGAGGGTGGGGGTTTGGGGTGGTCTGGAAATAGGTAAAAATAATATATTTTTTTAATCTACATATAGCCTAATGCAAAATTAAACTCAAATACTCACTAATATTTATTTTAGCTTTAGGAATAAGGTAGGCTGCTTTCAGTTTCGGGTCACATAAAACTCATCAAGTGGCTTCTATTCATTAGCAGCGGTGTAGCAACGGGGGAGGGGTGGGGGGGTTGTGCTAATTTAAGAAATTAGGTTAACAAGAAATCTCTGAGCGAGTCATTCATAGTGAGTCACTTAATACATTTATAAATGAGCCGATTCCAATGAATCTGAACGAACAATTCAGTGGCAAAGAGAGAGATTTGGTTGCACTCATTGGACATTTTGGTTTATAATGCTGGTCACCCCTGACCTACTTTCTGCTGAATCTGCATTTTATGATATTCAATTTGATGTTCTGAATTTCTTCATCTTGAAAACTTGAAACTGTATTTTTACAAACCCAATATCTGCAGTCTTTCAATGCAGAGCACAAATAAATCTAAAGATTGAAAATACATCCTTAAAAAATTCTGCCTTGAAAATTTTATTTGTCTTACATTTCAGATGTTCATCCATTTTCTTGTCGGCTTAGTCCCTTTATTTATCCGGGGTCGCCACAGCGGAATGAACCGCCAACTTATCCAGCAGGTTTTTTACGCAGCGGATGCCCTTCCAGCCGCAACCCATCTTTGGGCAACATTCACACACACACTCATACACTACGGACAATTTAGCCTACCCAATTCACCTGTACCGCATGTCTTTTGGACTGTGGGGGAAACCGGAGCAGCCGGAGGAATCCCACGCGAACGCAGGGAGAACATGCAAACTCCACACAGAAACGCCAACTGAGCCGAGGCTCGACCCAGCGACCTTCTGCGCCACTGCCTCGCCCATTTCAGATGTTCAAGTTATGAAATTCAAAGCAATTTTTAGCGGCATTTAACAATTCTTATTTATTAAATTACAATTGTCAGTAATTCAAATGAACACAATTCAAATTCAGATTGTTTGGCATGTTATTCGCTCCATAAACACTCAGCTTAAAGTGAGCTAATCTGCTGCCTATTCTTAAATGGCTGTTTAATGAGTGTTTATAATCCGAGGCTCATCAATATTATCATCAATATGCCAGTAGTCACTGTTTCTTATTTTTATTATATCGATCTCTTCACATTTTCAAATTACCTCAATGAATTATTATTGATTTATTATATTGATATAATATTATTTAGTTCCTCAATCAGTGTAAATGAATCAGATTTCTCTGTTTATTCTTCTAAAGCTCCATCAGTGAAAGACAAAGACAGAGTTTATTGAAGGACAGTGAGAAGATGAGTGATCCAGAACCCTGCAGAATTAAACAGGAAGAGACTGAAGAACTAATAGGTTTGTGTTTATTCATTACTCTTCAATAATGAGGTTAAAGAACAGTGAGGTTAATCTTTAAGCACTTCATCAGTTTTAGCACTTTTTTTAATATTGTTTTGGCCTAAAGTTTAAAATATAATATCGTAGCTCAGTGGTTCCCAACCTTTTTTTTTTTGCCTAAGACCCCCCTTTTCCCCCGGGAAATATTGTAAGGCCCCCGTCAACATTTAATGATATTATCGCACATATAAGTTTGCAGTAATAAAAAGCCTAATCATTTGCGATCTCCAGCAGTTGATCTTCTTCCACAGCCATGCTGCATTCACCTGATTTGTTGACAAATGGGTTGCGAATTCATATCTTGGCAGTTGGTGGGTCATTCACTGGGTCTTTTCCCCTTAGTAAAGAAACTTTCCAAAGACGTCTGTTTCTTACTCATTTTGCTGCCTGTAGGTTAAATTTTGGGTGCTCAAGTGACCAAGATGTAACCCCGAGAGTTCGGTCATTTTTCAAAATAAATGACTTTTCAAAATAAAAGCTCGTTCAGACTCGGATAATAAATAAAACGGAAATAATTCATGATTTCTTGTGCAGCCTGGTACCAGTTGATCTCCGGACCGGTGGTTGAGGAATAGCATGGTTTCCGCTACATTCATTCTTCCATGGCGGGGCGCCACGCTAAAATTCATCCCGCCACGGCTACATCACAGCTTCTCATTCAAAACATTTTATTTTTTTTAATAGCGGGTGATAGTATAGCCGTTTCAATTCACTTCAGGACGCATCAATATCGCTCTGTAGGTTTATTGGAGACATTCATGAACATTTCTAGCAATTCTAATAAATGCTGGAGACATACTCGTTACATAAACGCACTAAATCGCACTTCAGCAGCGTTCATTTGAGAGCGCACAAGAAGATCTGCACGCTCTTGAAGCGGCTTATATTTGAGGGGCGTGCAAGAAGCTTTGTGCACGAGCAGAGGAAATCGGCGCGTGGAATGCAGAGGAACTCCTGCTGCATTTGCATCTGAGTCTGCTGAAACTCGGCTTCAACCGCCCCAATTCACACATATGGTCATTTCAATGTTTGAATGTTCTAAATTAACCAAACTGACTTTAACTATCATGTTTGATATCATTTGAAATGTCTCAGTGCGATTGGTACAATGGTCTCATCCTCTCAGAAATAGACATAATCAACACAATAAATATATAACTTCAGGCATCTTTTGAACCACTGTGAAGGGTGTGACTTTTCCACAGGCAGCACTAAATGCGAAAGCCTTTTGTTATACACACAGCCCTTTCCTTGAGGGAATTCTTGGATTACTTAAGGTAAGGTTTGAGAAAGGCTCAGGGTGATTCTGCCTACTCAGATCAGCCCGTAACATGGAGCTTACGCTCCACCTTATGTATAATTTGAAGTCAGGTCTGCATCTTTTCATCTTGGATTTATCTTTGATAATTTGATGTTTGTATTGATCATTTATGAATTGACTGATTGAATTGGCATAATACATTTACCTGACTAATAAATTGTAATGTTTGACCATATTTTGCTCACTCTGTAATTATTAGTTCTAGTAGATTACGCTGTATCCTTGTTTCCGCACGTCTTGCGTCAGGTCAGTAGACGGACTAAAATCCAGTTGAGATGGAGCATTGGGCACACTAATTGTGTTTTAGGGATCCGGCTGACTCTTGATATTGATTCAAGTGTACTTAGGTGGAAAGGGCGTTAACTTCCGTCTAGGTCAACAAGGTGTTGCACGACTAACCTAGATTGGGTACCCGACCTTTGTTTGAAGGTAATATTATTCTAAATTAAGTTCATATGGGAAACCATGGGCTTGGTGAAAACCAAAGTTACTATAGAGTCCAGTAGTCGGGTACATTTATAATAATGTCCTAACCTCTAATTAGAAATGATATTGTCTTAACTCAAGGGTGTACACCTAAGCGGGACTAACTAAAGTATTTTCGAACGAGCACGCTGGTAGCGGCCATCTAAAGTATTTGTCAATTTACCTCTGTTTAATATTCAAGACTGACCGGAGTGTGACCGTGAGGGACGCCTTCGGCCGGGGCGATTTCTCTGATCGACATGAGCACCCGAATGAACGGATGTAATAGTTACTAGTGAAGACAAAAGGTTCAAACATTTATCTAAATTACATATTGATATAATCTTCTTAATGTTTTATGATTGGAGTCAGATAAAACGAGGATAAATATATTAATATTCTAAACCACCTCATACTAAAATTGGAGTCAGATATGAGTTAAATTCAAGGTAAATCAATATTGTGCACTGGAAAGACCGAACAGGCATTAAACCTTCATCCACCAGTGGACAACGGCATTGGGCCAACTGGGTGGACCTTACATAGGCTATTACATAAATGCGATCTCTACCAGTAATACTGCGCTCACGGCATTTGTCATTGAAATACCGCCACAGGTAGTTGGTAGATCTGTGTAAAAAAAAAAAAAAAAAAAAAAAAAGGCCTGCCGCCACAGCTGGAAAACATCCTAGAGGAAACACTGAATACTGTGTTAGGGGATAAAATGAACTAAGGCAACAGGATCATTCTCCTAATTGTCCACTGCTAAGACATTTTTTAAATATGACGCGACCCCCACAAAGCTCGTGGGCCAGGACCCCCCTGTTGGGAACCGCTGTCATAGCTGACCCACCCTTTAATGTTACTCATTTACTTCATTTTCAGATGTGATGGTGAAGGAGGAAGAACTGAGTGAAGATGAGGAGAAACATCATGTCAAGAGTGAAGATGAAACTCAAATGAAGATCGAGCATAGTTTATCAACGGAAGGAACAGCCGTAAGAGATTTCACCTGCACTCAGTGTGGAAGGACTCTAGCCTCCATGTTCGATCTCAGGCATCACATGATGATCCACACTGGAGAGAAACCGTACAAGTGTTCGCACTGCGACAAGAGCTTCAATCGTTTAGGAACCCTAAAAACACACATGCTGCTCCACACCGGAGAGAAAACACACACATGTGAGCAATGCGGCAAGTCATTTTTGAGGGCTGGAGACCTGAAGAAACATCTCCGAGTTCACACAGAGAGGAAGCCTTATTCATGCTCTGAGTGCGGAAGGAGGTTTTCGATGCAGAGCAATTTAACAGCGCACCAGAAGATCCATAGTGGCGTGAGAGAGTTTGTGTGCTGTGAGTGCGAGAAGACTTTTATTACAGCGGTAGACTTGAGACGACACCAGAGGAGTCACACTGAGGAGAAACCGTACAAGTGTTTACACTGCGACAAAACGTTCAGATATTCGGGACATCTGAAAGTCCACCTGATTATCCACACTGGAGAGAGGCCGTTCATATGCACTCAGTGTGGAAATGGTTTCAAGCGATCAACGCACCTTAATCGACACATGAAGATTCACACTCCCTTTGTCTCACATGAGGATGAACACTGGAGAGAAGACACACAGATGTGATCGGTACTGCCTACCGACCTTGGTGGATTCAATGGTGCCAGCATTAAAAATCATAGGCTGTGGACAGTGTGAAACATGGATTGTGCCAAGGACTACCCAACCATTCTGGAGGATCGTGTGTGTCCTGAAGGCTGTACCGTTCAAATTAATCAGTTCGTCTTTATTTCAATATCGCTTTTACAGTTGAAAAATGTAATAACAATTACAAATTGAAACGGTGTCAGTCCAGTTTTCAGACTTCACACAGTTCAGTGTGGTTTTATATTCACTGCAGAAAGTCCAAACACTGAAGAGCAAATCCATCGATGCGCAGCTCTACAAGTCCTGAACCATGCAAGCCAGTGCCGTGTTATCAGCATAATAATGCACCAATACACACAGCAGGACGGGTGAAGGAGTTTTTTAATAAACATGGAAGTGATGTGGAACATGTCCAATGGCCTGCACAGTCACCAGATCCTAACATTATCAAGTCACTTTGAGTTGTTTTGGGGGAGCGAGTCAGGAAATGTTTTCCTCCACCGGTATAACAAAGTGACCTGAAGAAGAGTCCCTCTGGCCACTATGCAAGACTTGTATCTGTCATTTCCCTGGATGAATTGCTGCTGTATTGGCCCTACACCAGGGGTGTCCACACTCTGTCCTGGAGGGCCAGTGTCCTGTAGAGTTTAGCTCCAACCCTAATCAAACACACATGAACAAGCTAATCAAGCTTTTACTTGATATACTAGAAATTTCCTGGCAGGTGTGTTGAAGCAAGTTAGAGCTAAAGTCAGCACGACACTGGCCCTCCAGGACTGACTTTAGACACCCATGCCTTACACCAGGGGTGGCCAATCCTGTTCCTAGAGAGTCACCTTCCTGCAAATTTCAGTTGCAACCCATATCAAACACACCTGCCTGTAATTATAACGTGGTGTTCAGGTCCTAATTAATTGGTTCAGGTGTGTTTGATATGGGTAGCAACTGAAATCTGCAGGAAGGTGGTTCTCCAGGAACAGGGTTGGCCACCCATGCCCTACACCATATTAATGAATTACTGTGGTCTAAAACCAGGCCTTTAAGTTTCATTGTTCAACCCCTGTTTATCATTACGGAGAAATCATTAATGGCAGCCTTAAATTCCTAAAGTTGACCCTTAGGTATTTGTTCTTGCAACCTAAGTTTTACCACGGGTTCCCTTTTTTAGCTTAATGCATGGGTCTTAAACTTCGATAATTAAAAAAAAACCTTGCAATTTGGTGAAATAAGTGTTCCAAATTTCTGCTCTTTACCCCTCCATAAAAAAATGTTTAGTCCGATGAGGACTAATGATCTATGTTTTTTTTTTTCAGGGGCCCTAAATCCTCTAGTTATGAGGCCAACACTGGACGACATAGTTAATTTACTCGCCTGTCCAGTGTTTGAACTATACCTTGGCCTTTGGAGAAGCCCACTTTGGGGGTCGCTTTAATCTTGAGAGTCCCTTGCCACAATGATGTAGGGCAGGGATGTCCTACACTGGTCCTGGAGGGCCAGTGTCGTGCTGACTTTAGCTCCATCTTGCTTCAACATACCTGCCAGGAAGTTTCTAGTATAGCTGGTTCAGGTGTGTTTGATTAGGTTGGAGCTAAACTCTCCAGGACACCGGCCCTCCAGGACTGAGTTTGGACACCCCTGATGTAGGCTATAAAACACACAGGATCGCTGTCCTTAAGCAGCAATGTATAAGCACAAAAAATCTGTAAATATAAAACGAATATTTATATAATTGTAACTAACATTACAATGTAGGCTAAATGAACTTTATCGCTAAAAAGTGCTTGTTTACCCATCAATAACTTTCTTTGAGCTTTAAATATCTTTTGAGAGATTTATTTTTATAAACAACAACAGCCTACCTGCAGTGCTTCTGAGAGGAATACATCCATATAAAATCAACAAACATGAATAGGTTTCACTTAACAACAAAATAAAAAACCTTGTCAGGTAGCCTATCATTTTACCATTCGTTCTTTAAGTTCAAGATGATGATATTAAGGACAGCATTTGGTTTTGTTATTTTACATAGGCCTATAAAATGGGATCTCACTTTTCACTCTGGTAAAACGTAATTGGAAAATGAGAGAAACACCATTGAAAGGGGTTCAGTTCGGTCAAGTTTACAGCAATGCCATGGTGCTTAAAAAGAACGTTATTAGCCTACTGTATGAAACAAAAAGAAGTACAATGTCACATCATTTGTTTCGGTAAACGAATAAGCAGTAGCCCCTTTCACACAGTGATACCGGTAAATATCTGGAAAATTTCCGGAACGACTTTACCGGTATATTCAAAAAAGCGCTGTTTACAGAGGCAAGGACGTTACGGAAATTTTCCGGAAAAGAGCATTCACACATCCATTCCAAAATACCGGTACATTCTGACATCATTCACCACAAATGAGCTTTAAACGGCTGCGCTTGTGTTTGTAAACATTTGACTAAATTACAAACTCTGTGGATGATCAATATTGTGAACAACTTTCGCAGGATCACTTTCGCATGTCGAGATGTTCATAATATGTGCGTGTGCAGGCGCTCACAGGCTGTTTCACAGGCACACGCAAAGCTTGAAGGTAAACAAACAACGGCTTATCATAAGCATCTCATCGATGATTATTTACACAGTTGGCATTAAGAAGAACATATAAACGTGATCTGACTAACTTCTAGCAGCTAAATGTGTCTGGAAAAATATTCAAAGGTTTTATTCTCACAAACCGCGCGGACGTGAATGCGTCTGACTGTTGTGATTGGCTAAAGCAGACGTCTCACGTCAGCACGTTCTAGACGTGCACGCGCTTATTACGGCAATCTTCCTTCTGCATTCACACAGCGCAGCATTCCGGCAAATTACCGGTAATGTTACAACTTTTCTTTCCGGAAAATAGCCAGAATGAATTTACCGGTATTTTCAAAAAGGACCTGTTCACACATACAACCTTTCCGGAAAATTGCCGCCAATTTTCCGGAAAGGTCTGTATGTGTGAAAGGGGCTAGTGTCTCAACCTACATTTGAAAGTGTCTGGCTGTGACTGTTTGACTCCTCAGTGCCCCCACATCTTGATGCTCATTACAAAAATAGCATGTGTAGTTATCTTTTTTAAATATAAGCTGTGAATCGCCGTCATGCATGAATGATATTTTTGCACTTTTACACATAATAATCCATGACCACATTACACAATACTGAAACCGCACATCAAAATAACACATTGTCAATATTTTTGTTATAGTTTCACAAATCAGGTTTTCAGGGAAGCCCATGTCTAATTTAGGGGAGCATGTAGTTGTAGTTCGCACCCTGCGCCTGTCGGGTATTCCCGAAGCATTTAGTGTATATGTTGTTTATATAGTTAGGGTGATATTAAGACTAAATGTTAATCATTCATAATTATGCACATATTTTTTTCAGAAAAAGCAGCTAATGACATTTTAATAAAAGGCTAATAATAACAACACAAAATTAGTCGCGATGATAATTTGTATCGATGACTTGTGAGCAAAATGGTTGTATACTTAATAATATTAAAAATAACGTGGAAAAAGTACATTAAATGCAAGAAAATCTAGTCTACTCAGACACGCAAACACAATCAGTTTGTGTGTAAAACTCTTAACCAGGTTTAGGATGAAGAAACATCACCTTAAGTTTTGACAGCAGCTTCATTGTGGGATTCAGATCAGCTTATAGATGGAGTTCCTCACCAAACAACCCTATATGAAGCTTTTATTAATGTAGTCGTCTGTCATTTTGCCTCTTGATACAATTCAATCTTGTTAATATTTTGCTTAAAACAAATTGGTAATTAGATTGTTCAACAATGTTTAATGAGCTTCGAGCTGTTATTAAATGTTTTCATTACATATTTTGTTTAAAAGAGTTGTCTTCTGATTGAAGTTACCTCAGGAAACATGTTTATACTGTCAGCGATAACGTGGGACTGTTGCATTGGCTTTTTTTAATTTGTTGAGTGTACTTTAAGCGTTTAAAGTGCCTAATAAACAGTATTTTTCACCTCACGCATGATTACGATGGCCTTTGTTTACGTTAGCAATTGTTTTGACAGCTAATTTGGCGCGTTGTTGATGATCCGCCGTTGCGGCCGCCTCGGCGTGGTGACGTCATCACTGACGCGTTCACTCAGCGTCGAGTCTTAAGAGCTGAGGTGAGTCGTTTTCGCTTTTTCTCGTGTTTACACAACAATAAAACACACTTTACAGTTTATTAAAGCGACATTCTGCGACTAGTTTCTGCATTGAGTTCACCTCTATCTGTGTGTCTGCTGACCAAAACAATACAGCAGGCAGAGAGGAGCTCTGAGAGGAAACATGAGCTCAGTGTTTGGGTTTTTCCACATTTGTGTCAGCAATATCACAATTTATGGTCTGTGAATGTAATAATGGGGATCTACCGCGGTAGATAAAGATTAAAAATATATGTATTATTTATTTACATATGATTTTCTAGTTTATGTTCAGTGATGTGCTTCTGCTAACAATCTAATTACTTTATTGGTATGAATTCCTACTTCATAAAACTTGTTATGAATGCAATAATCTTTTTAATTATTAATTACAATAGTATTCATTTCATCATTGTAGCACTCATTATAAAATGAGCTGATTTGCTGCTGATCCTGAATGGCTGTAAATGACCATTTACTACCTGTGGCTCATTAATATTCAGATCTACATTAAATAAGTTTTGTTGGTGTTCGCTGTATTGAGCAAGTAACATATACACACATTGTGTCACCTGCAATAATATGCTTATATTGTTTCATCAATCAGTGTAAATGAATCAGATTTCTCTTTTTCTTCTCCTGAAGCTCTGCCGCCATCATTAAAAGACAGAGACAGAGTTTATTGAAGGACAGTGAGAAGATGAGTGATCCAGAACCCTGCAGAATTAAACAGGAAGAGACTGAAGCACAGATAGGTTTGTGTTTATTCATTACTCTTCAATAATGAGGTTGAAGATCAGTAACGTTGCAGGGATGCAGACTGAAACACGAATAACAGCATCATTACAATATTAAAAATATAAAATGTGTACATTTTGCATTATAATTACCACTAATATTTTAATGTTGAAACTTTAATCATTTGTTTTTAAAAAGTTTTAGAATTTGTTAATATTTTTTATTTTATATTTCTAGATGTATGTTCAAAACATTTGCTCTGAAGTTCTATAATGAGAAGTAAACTCCATTTACTATAATGGAGTAAATTTCTGTGTATATACCTCAAAATGTAATGAACAAATGGTCCTTTACATGTGGTCAATATACAGTCAAGCGTGAAATTATTCATACCCCTGGCAAATTCTGAATTAAAGTTAAAATTTGTATGCAACCACATAACTGATGATGATTCGCATGTGTGTGTAGGGGTGGGACAACCACATAACTGATGATAATTGGCATGTGTGTGTAGGGGTGGGACAACCACATAACTGATGATGATTGGCATGTGTGTGTAGGGGTGGGACAACCACATAACTGATGATGATTGGCATATGTGTGTAGGGGTGGGACAACCACATAACTGATGATGATTGGCGTGTGTGTGTATGTAGAGGCGGGACAGACACATAATTGATGATGATTAGTGTGTGTGTGTGTGTGTGTGTAGGGGCAGGACAACCACATAACTAATGTTGATTGTCGTGTGTAGGGGTAAGACAACCACATAACTAATGATGATTGTTGTGTGTGTGTGTGTTTAGGGGCAGGATAACCACATAAATGATGATGATTGGCGTGTGTGTATGTATTGAGGCAGGACAACCACATAACTAATGATGATTGTCGTGTGTGTAGGGGTAAGACAACCACATAACTAATGATGATTGTTGTGTGTGTGTGTTTAGGGGCAGGATAACCACATAACTGATGATGATTGGCGTGTGTGTATGTATTGAGGCAGGACAACCACATAACTAATGATGATTGTCGTGTGTGTAGGGGTAAGACAACCACATAACTAATGATGATTGTTGTGTGTGTGTGTGTAGGGGCAGGATAACCACATAACTGATAATGATTGGCGTGTGTGTATGTATTGAGGCAGGACAACCACATAACAAATGACGTACAGAACATGTCTCGAACATGCATTGACCAAATGAGATGATAGTACTTTTAGGTCAAACTAATAAAAAAAAAAGTGTATAACTTGTAATTAGAAATCTTATATTAAACACACATGATTTAAATGTGTTATGTCTATAAAGGGGCAAAAGAAATTGAGTCTATAAAAGCAAATGTGCAAACATATTTGACCGTTTAAACACAAATGCTCTTATTCATGATCATTTCTCTGTATGGTTTAAACAGTCCAGAGCTGCATATGCTGTAAGAAACCAGCCTCTTAAAATGTAACTTACTTTTCAGATGTAATAGTGAACGAGGAGAGTGAAGAACTGAGTGAAGATGAGGACAAACATCATGTCAAAAGTGAAAGTGAAACTTACACAAAGAGAGAAAAAGGTTTTAACTGCACTCAGTGTGGAAAGTGTTTAACCAACAAACACACACTCAAGTTTCACATGATGATCCACACTGGAGAGAAACCATTCAAGTGTTCACACTGCGACAAGAGCTTCATTTGTTCAGGATATCTGAAAACACACGAGAAGACCCACACTGGAGAGAGACCACACAAGTGTGATCAATGCGGCAAAACATTTTCGATTTCTTCAGAGCTGAGGAAACATCTTAGAGTTCATACAAACGAGAGGCCTTATTCATGCTCTGAGTGTGGGAAGAGTTTCGCACGACAGTCAAGCCTAAGACAACATCGGAAGATCCACACTGGTGTCAGAGAGTTTGTGTGCTTTGAGTGCGAGATGACTTTTATTACAGCTGGAAATCTGAAACGACACCTGAGGACTCACACTAAAGAGAAACCTAACAAGTGTTCACACTGCGACAGGAGATTCAGTCAGTTGCAATCACTGAAAATACATGAGAGGATTCACACTGGAGAGAAACCGTTCGTATGTTTTGAGTGTGGGAAGGGTTTTTCACATCAGTCTCATTTTAAAGCGCATCAGCATATCCACACCGGTGTGAGAGAGTTTGTGTGCGTTGAGTGTGGGAAGGGTTTTATTACAGCCGCAGACTTAAAACAACACCAGTGGTTTCACACTGGAGAGAAACCTTACAAGTGTTCACACTGCGACAAGACGTTCAGTCTTTTACAAATCCTGAAAACACATGAGAGGATTCACACTGGAGAGAAACCGTACGCATGTACTCAGTGTGGGAAGAGTTTCAGACAATCATCACACCTTAAAAAGCACATGAAGATCCACACAATGGAGAACACAAATGTGATCAGAGCGGTAAAACATTTTTAAGGCCTTCAAATTTGAAGAAACATCTAATGTTAGAGAAAGTTTATAATGGTGCATTTGTTAGAATTTAATTGATGATTGCCACGCATCTTTTATATATACACTTCATACTTCCGACAATTAGATTATTTTCAATGTAAATAAATTCTATATATTTTTGTAATTCCAGTAACTTATCAATTCATTTAAACTATTATTATTTATAATACCTGTAAACGTATTCTGTTTAGTTTAATTAAATTGTCATTTGGGTAGTAGACCCTTTTCACATCACCTGGTTTCTCTGCAACGCAAGTCGTCAAAGTTGGGAAACTTTGAGCGCAGTGAATAGGAGAATACAACAAATCGTTTTTTACAGTCCTATTTGCTAAATTAATGACCGAAAAACTCCAGGATGGTGTTACCAAGACTTTCAGAAAAAGAAAAACGATAGTGTGAGACTGATAGTGGTAGCCAGAAGAGAGAATAACGTCAAATTTACTGTCCTGTCCCATAGACGCTGTATTAGAAATGCCTCCTACAAGTGGTAATTCGTTTTTCGTCTCGTAATTCGTTTTTTTTTTTTTTTGTAGTTTGAAGCAAAGATGATATAATACATTCATAAATGTATATAAATGCTCATACGTTTTTCAAAATCAAAATATTAAAAACTTACGGATTTAAGATGCTAATGACCCTTATGCCTAGTTCAGACTGCGTGATTTTAGCCCCGATTTTGGCTCGCCGACAAAGCGGGAGGCTGGGGGAGAAGTTAAAAACACTCTTTTTTGTTTATTTGGACCCACGAAATGGAGGAAAAACTAGTGGAGGTTTGACAGGACTCAGGAGCAACCGTGTCTGTTTGACGTTTCATACAGAAAGAAATTAGTTTATTATCAACATTGAGGAGAAATGGCTAATTCCCTTTAAACCCAGGTGAGCAAATATGCACATTTTCTACCCCATTAAAGGCTTCTGTCTCATTATGTAGTTAAGAACAAAAGATATACAACGTGTTTTTTGCTGTGAGACGTAGTTTGGACGAAGTTGTCGGCGATTCTTCTTATAGGAAAGTCATGCAATGTGAATGTCCCTGTCGCCGATCCATCTTGCAGTGTAAACAAAGCAGCAACGAAACGCCAGCCCAGATAGTCAAGCAGTGTGAAAACATCTGTGACACGACTACTTTAAAAATCATGCAGTCTGAACTCGGCATTAAATGCGTCATAAGTCTTGTAAAAAGGCTTCGTTAGATTTCCATATTTTCGATTACATATTTTACATATTAATATATAATATTGGCTTATTGTTTAAGCTAACAGTGTGTGGGTGTTTGTTTGTTTGTATATGTGCTCTTCACTTTCCGATCAACCCCTACTGTTCGTCACTTACCAGCTACTGTCTATTAGGTCTGTGCAATTGTCAAAAATTCTGTTTCGATTTTGGCTTCCAACGATTATGAAAAACCATTAATCGAGATAAACGATTAGTCCATCATATACCGCCCCCTTTTCAGTTGTGCACATTTGTTGCTCTGCAAAGCTCAGTTCCACCTGAAAACGACTAAAAGCATGTACTGGAATGTAATGTCTGCAGCACGGGATGCGCATCATTCATTGAAGTGCTTTTGAATTAATCATGTTTTTAAAAGTGTGAAGTGTGCGCGCTCAGCCTCAGAGACGAGCAGAGCACACACATCTGCAGTCATCTTAATGTGAGCGCTTTAATAATCGAATACATGGAAATTTGTGTCAAAACAAATTTTTTTTAAAGAAATATCAATTAAAAAGTTATGATTTTTCCCATAATTGAGCAGCCCTACTGTCTATAAACTCAATATACTCTTCAAATACTTGTTATTTTTGGCTATAGATTACTTTTCACTGTTTCTTAGACTCGACAACTATATTGGTTATTATCGTTTTGTTCAAATAAAACGATCATTTTTAAAAGCAGAAAGTCTCTGGAGACTCGCACTCTGAATCAAATTTTCAGCCTCTAATGTCATAATAATCGTTCCTCTGTACATTTACAAGCAACATTCTCAAATCATTTCCTTCATTTCAATGTATGAATGTACGTTTAAAGATCGGCCAGTTGTGTATTAATAAAAGCACTTGTTATTCTTTGTGATAAATGATTCCTTTGTTTTAGAGTTCTACACAAGCACATGACTCGAGCAGTCATGCAAAATGTCACATTATCAATTTAAGTGGATTTCTTAACGTTTTTTAAACGGTATTTTACCTCACGTGCTACTGAGTAAACTTTTGTCTGTAGTATGTTGTGTTGCGTTTTTTTTATTCATAAATGTAAATGGGCAGTGAAAAATTTACTCACTTTGATATAGAAACAGGTCATTATCTATGCACGATAAAAGAAACCAAAAATACCAAAGCAAAAAGAACTGTTAATTATTTTAAAGCCTTAAATTTATTTTTTTTTATAATTATTTTTTTCTTTTTATATTGTACTTGATTGGATGTTAATATAATGTTGTTATTGCCCTTGTATGCTCTGTGTTCTAAAATTGCAATAAAAAAAAAACAAAAAAGAAAAAAAAAAGTTGTGTGGTGCGATTTTGACCCGCCTCGCCGTGATGACGTCAGCGCTGACGCGTTCATTCAGCGTCGCGTCTTCAGAGCTGAGGTGAGTCGTTGACGCTTTTTCTCGTGTTTACACAACAATAAAACACACTTTACAGTTTATTAAAGCGACAATCTGCGACTAGTTTCTGCATTGAGTTCACCTCTATCTGTGTGTCTGCTGACCAAAACAATACAGCAGGCAGAGAGCAGCTCTGAGAGGACAATATGAGTGTTTGGATTTATCTGAGTAATTTTTGTCCACGATTGTATGAGTAATTTCGCAAAGTATGATATGTGAAGGGGAAAATGGGAATCTGCTGCATCAGATGTATTAACATCGATGCATAAATGATTGAATTGATAGTTTTTATTGCGTTTTTATGTTCTTAAGTTCTTCTGTACAGGTGCTTCTGCTGACAATCTTAATGATTTGTTATGAATGTGTTCGTAGTATATTAACTATAGATCTAAATACACATCAATAGTAAATTAATCAAGATTTCTCTGTTTATTTTTTGAAGCTCTGCCTCCATCAGTGAAAGACAAAGACAGAGTGAGAAGATGAGTGATCCAGAACCCTGCAGAATTAAACAGGAAGAGACTGAAGAACTAATAGGTTTGTGTTCATTCATTACTCTTCAGTAATGAGGATGTACAACAGGTTGTTTAGCACTTCATCGGTTGTACAACGTTTTCATGTTACCTTTGTTTATAATATGTAGCCTATTTAAAGGGTACAGCTCTTATTTTAATTAACATGAAACCGTAAAATTCATTTTTTGCCACGTTTTATTGATAATTGAGAGACATGCATAAGTGTATGAGTTTATAAATAAAGTATTGAGCTGTTTTGAACTTTGACTGTGGCGCACTCGCTCTGCTGCTCCTATCCAGTAACAAACCAGGCTTTTTATGGTGTAATAAAGTGGATGGGATTCACAGCACATCACTTTCTGTGTCTTGTGTGAAAGCTGCTTCTCTCTGAGCCGTGGCTGCAGCTGGAGGGAGAGTGAAACCAGTACACTGAATACTGCTGGGCAGTGTGGCACAACGTAATAATTAATTTTTTTGATAGAAATTGCGATTTTAATTTGCTCAATATTTGTTGTTTGTTTGTTTGTTTGTCTTATTTATAGAGCACATGATGTTGAGCACATGATGTTATATGAGAACAGATGTTGACCAAAGTGCTTTACAAAAAGACCAGCATACAAAATCTATACCTATATATAAAAATTAAGCAAAATATATAAAACAGATTAAAATTAATTAATTACAATCAAAGGCAAGAGACCGAAGGTGATTTTTTAAAAATAATAAGTAAGTAGTGGCAACAATTATGTGACGGCTCTTAAAAATGATCTGTTTTTGTTTGGCGTCTGTGACTTTGAAACCAAAATATTCCCATATTGCCAATACTGTTTTTCTTTGATGTTAATTAATCTATTAATGCTTGGGAAACACAGATGCCATATACAATAATACAAAATATGCCTTCGAAATAATACATACAGTTGAAGTCAGAATTATTAGCCCACCTTTATTTACTTCTTTTTGTAATATTACCCAAATGATGTTGAAGAGATTCAGGACATTTTCACAGTATGTCTGATAATATTTTTTTCTTTTGTAGAAAGTCTTATTTGTTTTATTTCGGCTAGAATGAAAGGAGTTATTATTTTTGTAAACCCAATTTTAGGGACAAAATGATTAGCCCCTTTAAGCTATATTTTGTTTAGATAGTCTACAGAATAAACCATCGTTATACAATAACTAACCTAATTGCCCTAACCTGCCTAGTTAACCTAATTAACCTAGTAAAGCCTTTAAATGTCACTTTAAGCTGTATAGACGTGTCCTGAAGAATATCTAGTCAAATATTATTTATTGTCATCATGACGAAGATAAAATAAATCAGTTATTAGAGATGAGTTATTAAAACTAATATGATTAGAAATGTGTTGAAGAAACTGTATATGGCCCATTTCCAATGATAGGTATGGTTTGGTATGCTTTTATGGCCGTTTCCACTGTCAAAAGTTACCTAAAACCGAACCATACCCCTTTTTGGGTACCCTTTCGAAAGGGTACCTAGCACAACAAAAGGGTACCAAAAGGCGGAGCTGGACGCGCAGCTGAACGCTATTAGTTTACAGAGATATAAGTGCGGGACTGCGACTGACGCCTCCATGGCTGCTGGACCAGTTGGCTACCCGCACTCATTGGATTGTTTCCATATCCCCTGTTCCCATCCCCTGTGTCAATGTTGTGTCTTGCCGGTGTGCTCATGGCAAGATTGGGTAGTGTTTTTCTGCCTGTTTTCACTTTTCCCATACAAGAGCAAGCTGAGAGGGTGTTTTTTTGGCCTAACTCTCCAGATGTATCTTACGTCCCTTTTTTTAGGTTAAATGCTACCTCCTGTGACCTGTCTTCCCCTGATAATTGTGATGTTTATGTATGGTTGGGGGTAGAGATCTGCGCAGGACTAAATTTTGAATCCCGCTCCCGCCCGGACCCGCCAGGTTTTAGCCCGCACCCGACCGCTCCCGCTTATATTAAGCACTTGATGTCCCGCTGCCCGACCTGCCCCGTTTTCTATCCGCCGTGCCCGATCCCGCTAAAGAGCGGGAGGAGAACAAAACCGAAAATCACCCAGTTATACAGTCCAGACAGCCTATAACAAGCTGTCTCTATAAACACACACACACACACACACACACACACACACAGCACCAAGCGCACACACACACACACACACAGACAAAGCTTTCTCTCATTCGCACGCGCGCGCCCTCTAACACACACTCATAAGCACCAAGCACAAACGCACCCCCCCCCCCCCCACACACACACACACACACACACACACACACACACACACACACACACACACACACACACACACACACACACACACACACACACCTACCTCTCATTCGCGCGTGCGCATACATACATACATACATACATACATACACACACACACACACACACACACACACACACACACACTGCAACAAACAAGCTAAACATAGCATCGTGCTATTTCATTTACACACATACATACGCGTGCTCACTCGGGAGTCGGGAACGATATTGCTAGACAGCCCGCTCCCATCCCAAATTAAACCCGTTACCGACCGCTCCCGTGATTTATTCGGAAATTTATACCCACGCTGTAGAAATCTGGTCGGGTCTCTAGTTGGGGGGTCAAATTCACTATACTAAAATGTATGTGACAAATAAAGGCCTGATTTGATTTGATTTGATTTGAGATATGCACTAGCTTGTGCAACAAGCAAGCCAGAATGTAAACAAAGGAAGTGCCATTTTTAAATACACAGCTGCGACATAACATCGCAATACTATATGCATATAATAATGAGCCTGGGTCGACCTGAGTTCAAACAAACAAATGCTAAGAAGAAGAGCATAATCTACCCAGTGCCTCATAGTTTTTTACAAGGCCGTCTTAAGCGCTAGTGGTTTCGCTTTCTTACGTCTATATATTACGTCTATATCGCACGTCTATATTCGAAATAACATAAACGAATAGGATGGCATGTAAACATCCCTGTTCTTGCATGACCAGCATACTCAACTGGCATGTCACCTATTGAGCATGTTTAGGATGGTCTGGATCTGCGTATACAACAGCTTGTTCCAGTTGCAGCCAATATCCAGCAACTTCTCAGCCATTGAAGAGGAGAACAGTCCACAGCCCACAATCCATGACCTGATCGACTCGATGTTAAGGAGATGTGCTGCACTTTAGGAGGCAAATGCTGCCCACAACAGATGCTGACTGGTTTGAAGTCATGAAAAGTGCCGAGTTTATATTATTGAGTGTGTTTGACCACCTGCAAATTTCACCCAAACACTAGGCTTGGGCGGTATCCAAACTTTGAAACCGTCAATCCTCCTCCCTATTTTACCCCGGAATCCGGTATTACCGTGCATAATAAAAAAAAATGACATAAAGCTCAGACAGCGTCACCAAACTGTTGGCTTGTGCCTAAACTATTCAAAAACTGAATACCGTTTATGCAACCTGAGGTTCGCGGTCAGCTGTTTGTCTTGTTCGTGTTAGAGATCTGCGTGGGACACAGATACACACACAAAGAGCGCGAGAGAGACGCACAACACCACACTCTCTCTCCCTCTCTCACACAGACACACACACACAAAGAGAGAGAGAGAGAGAGAGAGTGTGTGTGTGTGTGTGTGTATGTGTTTCCGGAAAAAAGCGCGGGAGCGGTCGGTACAATATTGCTCCTGAGCGAGCGAGCACACACTTATCCACAAAGATGCTGTGTGTGTGTGTGTGCGTGTGCGTCTCTCTTTCTCTCTCATTTACACACACACACACACAGAGAGAGAGAGAATCAAGCGACACACAGACAGCATGCTCGCTTATTAACACTGTTACGAATTAAAATAAAAATCCTTAATCAAAAAGAGATATAACCAAAACGTAACAAAATAACAGGGATTAAAAAAATATATACTCCCCCGCTCTCTCTCTCCCCAAAATATATACCAAAAACACAACCACTGATAATTAACAAGAAAATATGATTTATGATTAAAAAAAAATATGATTCAGCCAAAATAAATGACAATAAACCAAGCTAACTAAATTAGATTAAACTTCCCTAGAAAACAAATAAAATAAAATACAGAAAACTTACCTCCCTACTAACAAACACAAGAGAAAACGAAAATAACAAACCTAACCATAACAACCAAACCTCCCTGCATGCTCCGAGCCCGACAGGGAGACAGATTACCGGGCTTCAATCGCAAAATTAACAACAACACGCTGCATCTCACATAATCCCACAAAGAGATAGAAGATAGAACACTCATCTGATCGCTAGTCTCCACAGAGCACAAACAGGGAATCGAGAGAGAGTGGAGAGCCATTGAACCCTTGTTCTCTGCAGGTTTTTATAGCCGCCGCCAATCCAAGCGCCAATCAAGATCCGTCCCAACGTAATCCGCTGCACCTGCGAATACTTAGAGCGAGAAAGCGAGAGAAAGAGAGAGAGAAACACCAAACACAAGCCTACACTACACTACTCGTAACAACACACACACACACACACACACACTCACTGCAGGTGACTTGGTGCGCAAATCGAAATCCCATCTCACCTCTCTCTCTCTCTCTCTCTCTCTCCTCCACTTTCCCATCATGACAATCACGCATACGTATTTGTAGGCATTAAATAAATAATATGTATTATTTATTACTTGTCACCTATTTAAGTGCATTGTTTTTATGGCGGTATAACGGTATTGAAACTGACACCGTTGCTATTTGTAGATCCCGCGGTATACCATATTACCGTATTACCGCCCAAGCCTACCAAACACACACTCATGCTCTTATTCAGTGTTTTTAGTTCCTTTTAAAATGTGACTTGTTAATTTTCAGATGTGATGGTGAAGGAGGAGAGCGAAGAACTGAGTGAAGATGAGGAGAAACATCATGTCAAAACTGAAACAATATCTCACACAAAAACCGAACAAAGTTTTTTAATGGAAAGAGCAGCTGAGAATGGTTTCATCTGCACTCAGTGTGGAAAGAGTTACAGCCGCAAATGCGCTCTCAAGCTTCACATGAGGATCCACACCGGAGAGAAACCCTTCAAGTGTTCGCACTGCGACATGAGCTTCTTTTGTTCGGGATATCTGAAAACACACGAGATGACCCACACTGGAGAGAGACCGTTCGTGTGCGCGCAGTGTGGGAAGAGTTATAGCCACAAAAACAACCTCAAGCTTCACATGAGGATCCACACTGGGGAGAAACCATTCAAGTGTTCACACTGTGAGAGGAGGTTTAGTAATGCAGGACACCTGAAACATCACAGAATGATTCACACAGGGGAGAAACCGTTCACATGTGCTCAGTGTGGAAAGAGTTTCACACGGCAGTCGTGTTTAGCACAGCATCAGCAGATCCACACTGGGGTGAGTAAGCATGTCTGCTTAATGTGTCAGAAGACTTTTATTAGAGCTGGGAACTTGAGACAACACCAGATGACGCACACTGGAGAGAAACCGTACACGTGTTCACACTGCGACAAGAGCTTCAGCCAGTTTAAAGTGCTGAAAATACATCAGAGGACTCACACTGGAGAGAAACCGTTCACATGTACTCAGTGTGGGAAGAGCTTCACACAATCTTCACACCTTAATCGACACATGCTGATCCACACCGGAGAGAAAACGCACATATGTGATCAGTGCAGCAAGACATTTTTGAGGCCTTGCGAGCTGAAGAGACATCTTAAAGTTCATACAAAGAAATCTTACTCTGTAAAAAAGCAACTAAGTCCTTCCTGAAAACTCGCCAGACATCAGATTCAATGCTTAAAGGTATGTTAATCAATTCAAATCATTTGTGTAAAGGTCACATGTTCAGCTCAATTGACCCTTCGCAAAGCCACACCCAGGGCGGGTGCATCCATAGAGGTGACCTAGGCGGCCGCCGAGGGCGGCAGAATAGAGAGGGCGGCATCCGAACACTTCCCGCACCACCCGCGACCACAGTTATACCCGCGCCTAGGGTGGCAGAGAGGGCGGCATCCGAATATCTCCCGCACCACCTGCGTCCGCAGTTATATCCGCGCCTAGGACGGCAGAATAGAGAGGGCGACATCCGAACATCTCCCGCACCACCTGCGTCCGCAGTTATATCCGCGCCTAGGACGGCAGAATAGAGAGGGCGACATCCGAACATCTCCCGCACCACCTGCGTCCGCAGTTATACCCGCGCCTAGGGCGGCAGAATAGAGAGGGCGACATCCGAACATCTCCCGCACCACCTGCATCCGCAGTTATACCCGCGCCAAGGGCAGCAGAATACGTTCTTAGCTTTGATAACCGGTCATTTTTGTTTTCACTTTCGTTTGAGGGCGGTGTGATCGTCCTTTGCCTAGGACGGCAGTTCAGCTTGCTCCGGCCCTGGCCACACCCAAAAACCACCACCCACCAATCGTGGCTTAGCAACCGTAGCTACGCGCAGGGGCTCTGTCAAGCTTTCCAGCGAGGGAAACAGGCCAAAGCGTTGTGCTTATTATGGATTGTGCAAATCTAATACCCAGTATCCTAAAAGTTTAGACTGGATGGTGGAATTTTTACCCTTTTCAGAACCAAAAACCCAAGAGGAGAAACGCCAGCGTGGATGAAGCCGTGTGAGGGGCGCTGAAGAAGCGGAGATAAGTTGGTTTTGTTTTGATATTCCAGACACTTTCAGTGATCGACCGACGACAATAACTCACACACCCCTTACCCTAAACAGATCTAAACTGTGTTACAAAAACACAAAGCCGCTTATGTTTCACTTATGTCTCAGGGCTCAACAATAAGGACTGCCCGATGGCCCGGGGCCAGCATGAGAGATGTTCGGTACAGTGGAGAGAATCGTTACTGGCCCGATCAGGCCAGTGCTGCCTTGTCATCAAATTTTTATTTGCCTGCTACTATCAATTGTATGCAAAATTAGAAGTCTTAGAACCGAGAAACAATTTGTGCTTTTAAGTCTCAGAATGCTACGTTTTCTGTAAAGTCGTAAACCCCATATTGCTTTTTGGTTCCTTTTATCTGATTGGTTGTTGTGAGCACGTTATTTTTTTTTTTTCCACAACCTGGTAAAAACCAGAACAGTGAAGAGATGACAGCATCAAATTATGAGGCTAAAAGAAAAAGTCTGTTTCCAACGATGTGGAAAAAGATATTTACATGGGGACAACACAACGAAAAAAACGAAGTGATGTTTTGCATAATTTTCCATCACTTTTAAGTCAGCCACTTTTTGTTTAGCAATGAAATACCTGCACATTTTCTAGATTCAAAGGCATTATTTTTGACACATTATTTAAAATATGTGGCTAAAAAAAATAGCTATTTTTTATTTATTTATTTTGGTGGGGCAGGTAAAAATCTGAACTGCTGGTCCAGTCGGGCCAGTAGAAAATGTCCTTAGTGTTGAACCCTGTGTCTTATTCCTTTTTTTTCTCTTGATATTATGAGCACTGCTCCGTTTAAGCCTTCGCAATATTAACGTAGTCATGCTAATAGCGAATAGGTCATAATGACATGAGTTATTGATCCGGCGGATACAAATCTGTTGCTAACTTTACTGAACTTCTTATCTCCATCTATTTCAAGCTACGAATATTTGAAATTACAAATCAACAGAACAAAACCGAGAGATGATCACAAACTGAGCACTTGCGATCAATATACTTTACCCCCAGCTGTTCCTCAGTCATTTATAAAGAGCAAACATGCTGACAGTAATATCTACTGTACATTGTTATTGGTCAAAGATGCTAATATTCAGCACAAGTCCATCAGTTTCCCCTTTCTGGCTGCTCTTTCTATGATTGACCTATGTAGAAGCTCTGTCCATGCGTGTTTCTTCGTCGGTGAGTAACGCTGTATTTCATTGCAACAATTAATCTATCAGGCTTTTTGGCTAACAATAGAGAAATCTCGGTTTCATTAGTTATTATTCGATTATTTTTAAATTTCTCCTCTCCTGCTGAGCTGTTGAATGGTTAGCGTATGAGGCTAATCAATTTTGATTGAATTATTCTCTAATCTGTTGCCTATTATGTGGTGAATATACCCCTGTCATGCATACTGCACTCCTTTTTTTTATTTGGCTTTCTTGGATATCTCACCTGTTCACCAAAAATGCCGAATTATATCCCTGGCAATGTCTGACACCGGCGCACACACATTGTAAAAGCCATGCCAGGCACGAAAGCTTGACAGGCTTGGCAACAGTAACTAAGGAGGGCGGGGCTTAGCGAAGGATCAAATACAATTAGCATGTGTTTCATAATTATACAAAGAGGAAAGCGGGTGTTTCCAGTCATCAAGCCCTTCAGTTCCACTCGAGGTCTCCATGACCTCTGACCTAGTTTCTCGCCTCCTGAAAATAGAGTGACAAAGAGACCGGCAAACACACTGAACATTCTTATATTAAGCAATGTGCTAACTGCATTCATTATTCAGTAATCATATTAATAAAGTTATGAGAAAGGATAAATGTTGATCCATGCTGGGATGGATTGGAAGGCAGAAATCCGAATTCATCAGTACACAAATTGTACTAAATCTGATACCTTAAAATAGTTAGCATTCATATCTTAAATGTCCTATTGTTCTGTTTGATCCCCTTGAGGAGAACCACCCCATGACAATCTTTGTACTTTTATTTTGGAGTGCAGATTGAGTTTTATTCATATAATTTTTAAAACTGAAACTGAAACTAAATAGTTTTCGTTTGTCATTTTTATAACTATGTTACTATTTTCCCAAGTGTAAGAAAATATCAGCGTTTGGTAAACACTGTCAGTATCACCTTTGTTTGAAATGACCTGATCTGATCCTGTTTATATGACATATCTAGCCATGACAACAGCTCTCGGATGAGTTTTGAAGAACGAAACGATGGATCGTGTCAACAACTAAATCCAGCTAGTTAAGTAATCTACGTACGAAGAACAGACCCCAGTGTGTTTCACATATGCAAACAAACACTTTGTGAAGTTTATTCATAAACTATTTTCAAGAGGAGCACGTGATTATGATTGAACACGGCTGGTTCTTCATTAGCATGCACGATCCACCAATCAGGCCATTCCTAACCCACTATACAGAGTCAGGGTTTTTTCACTACAGTCATCTTCGATTTGAAGAATCCCCCCTTCCACCCCTACCTTTTCACCTTTCCCTCCATAGGGCAGCACGGTGGCCCAGTGACTAGCACTGTCGCCTCACAGCAAGAACGTCACCGGTTCTAGTCCTTCAACAGGCCGGTGGTCGTTTCTGTGTGTAGTTTGCATGTTCTTCCCGTGCTTGCGTGGGTTTTCCCCGGGTCCTCCAGTTTCCCCCACAGTCCAAAAACATGCACAACAAGTAAATTGATAAATCTAAATTTGCAATACAGGTAATCTCTCATAATGCAGCATATCTTTTATTAGCATTCAATTTTTAGTCATCAGCTCATATCAAGGGGAAGTTGTCGAGATCTACCTGAGCTCAAGGCTCCCCTCTCTTCCTCCAAACGGGAGGGAGCCCAGGGCTCAAGAACCTTCGAGCTCAGGGCTCTCTCCCGGGACAGCATGCCAAACTTGCTTATAATCAATCATCAGCTAAGTGTGAACTCTTGAAATGGCTAATATGTACTGAATAAGTGTGAGAGACCATATGCGGCATCCTATGCCGAGTTCACGTGTGATTATTTTATTTTGTGTCCTGATTTTTCTCGTCTGAAGCTATGAAGTGAGTTTGGTGTAAAAATGTGTTGTTATGTGGAGTAGTGTCATGTGTTTAGTATTTACAACTCGATACTGGAAATCAACTGGCGCATTAAATGTTTTTGTTTATTAAACTGTTATTTTAATTTTTTTTAAATGTGATTATATTAGTAATTTCATTAAACTTGATATATGCGACAGCAAAATTAGTATTACGTGTTTATTTTTTTCTATTTTTATTTTCAAAAAAGTGAATTTCTAAGTGTTTAAGTGCCTAATAAATAGTATTTCACCTCACACATTGATGTTTGTCTACATTAGCGATTGTTTTGACTTGTCGGCAGTCAAGTATTAAATATTGGCATGTTTTTTTTATGTAATTATTTTTATTGCAATTTTAGAACAGAACATACAAGGGTAATAACAACATTATATTAACATCCAATCAAATACAATATTAGAAGAAAATAAAAAAAATACATTTATTCACAAAACAAAATTTAAGGCTTTAAAATAATTTACAGTTTCTTTTATCGCGCGTAATGACCTATTTCTATTTTAATGTGGGTAAAATTAGTTTTTTTTTGCTGATTTACATTTATGAATAAAAAATTCCATTTAAAATGAGCAAATTAACATTATGCCAAATTTTGAAGTCGACTGCATTCGCATAAAAATAAACATCTTTTTCTTTGAGTTCCAATCCAATATTTGTACTCTGCTTAACAAAAAAAGAAAAGATCTCACCAAAACCTTTGTGTATAAATACAATCATAAAATGAATGAAAGCACATTTCACATCAACATCTATCCTGTTTACAGGATAAATACGTTGAACAATTTTAAATGACACCTCTCTAATTATATTTGTTAAACAAAAACGTCTGGAAATCTTAAAAGTCTTGTTCCAGTTAACATCTTGAAATTGAGACCTCAAATAACCAATGGCTGAAGGAACATTGACAATCCGGCAAGTCATTCTAAGATAATTATTATTACATTTTTTCTTTTATATTCATGCCTTCCAACTAAAATATACATTTGTATTTTGAACTATAGCATTTACTAATAATTTCTTAAGCTCAGAGGTAATACCATTAATTACCATCATATACTCTTTAACAGGTATATATAAAGGGAAAGTTTTTCTAGAAACTCTAAATAGGTAAGCGCATGAGCATTATATTTTAAAAGTTGTGCACTGCAAAAAAAATGCTTTTCTTAATTAGATTTTCTGTCTTGTTTCTAGTCCAAATATCTACAAATTCTTAAATCAAGAAGCATTTAGATAAACAAAACATATTGTCTTGTTTTAAGAAATAATATGCCAAAATGTAGTGAGTTTTTCCTTAAAACAAGCAAAATAATGTTGTTTTTTGGTTTGTGATAATCTATTCGGTGTGTAATTGATCTATTATTCCAAATTAAACTTTTGTGAGGGGACAAATTGTGTTTGTATATAATCATCCATGATAGCAATGCCTGTTTGTGAAAATTAGAAAGTTTTATGGGAAGCTTACTAATATTAAAATTGCAATTAAGAAATTCAATGCCACCTACTGTTTCAAAAATAATATTAGGTTAAATTTTTTGAGCCCACTATTGTTGACTCAATATTGAATATTGTTTTGTGTCCACTTAATTTTAAAAATAGTGTTAGATATTTCAAAGTCTTGATTAAACGGAGATCCTCCGTTGCGCCCGCCTCGCCGTGATGACGTCAGCGCTGACGCGTTCATTCAGCGTCGAGTCTTCAGAGCTGAGGTGAGTCGTTGACGCTTTTTCTCGTGTTTACACAACAATAAAACACACTTTACAGTTTATTAAAGCGACAATCTGCGACTAGTTTGTGAAGGGTGTAATGGGAAACGTTAAATTAATAGCTTGTTCAGCTGTTTATTTTCTCATTTATTTTTCTGTACAAACGTGCTACCGCTAACGACCTGAGTTATATTTTATGGATACTTGAATGGTATTTTTTAGCAGATATTGATGTAAATACAAGGGATTCCATGTTTACAATGTAGTTAGTTTATCCTACAACCGTTTTATAATGAGCTGATTCTTAATGGCTGATTAATGAGTGTTTATAGTCTGGGCTCATCAATATTGTCAGAGCTGCTGAAATCCTCTCATGTCAGTAGTTCCTGAGTTTACCTCATTCATTATATACTAATGTCTAAAGATCTACAAGTTGCCACATTAAAGGTGCAATATGTGATTGTGCTGGTTGAAAGATTCTTCACATCCCAGTAGTAATATTACTACTAGTTAATAATCATTGTATGCATAAAGTATAACACTTTGCTTGCTACACAACTGAAAACATGCTAGATATAATATACTTTTTCAAAAAATGTTTGAATGTTTCGAATTGGAGATTTACATCAAGTTTTACATGATTTAATACATTAAATGTTATTGGTGTCAGCTGACTAGAGCAAATCACATATTGTATCACTTACAAGATATAACATCATATGTTTGCTTTCCTAAATCAGTGTAAATGAATCAGATTTCCCTGTTTGTTCTCCTGAAGCTCTGCTGCCATCAGTGAAAGACAAAGACAGAGTTTATTGAAGGACAGTGAGAAGATGAGTGATACAGAACCCTGCAGAATTAAACAGGAAGAGACTGAAGAACTAATAGGTTTGTGTTCATTCATTACTCTTCAACAACGAGGATGAAAAACAATGAGGTTATTAATATTTAAACACTTCATCAGATTTACTAATTCAAATATTATCTTACATTTCATCTTAACAATATTATGTGTTTAGAACATTGGAAAATGAACTGAAATTAACTTTACGGCTCAGATAAATTTTTGGTAGTACTTTAAAATAATGGTCCACTAGTTAATGTCAATTAATGCGTTTTTATTACAGGAACAAACAATAAGCAATACATTTACCATGGTATTTATTGAACTTTATTAATGTTAATCATAGTCAACTGGACTGACACATTTTCAGTATATACTAGAACTTATATGTTAAGCTGCTTTGACACAGTATACATTGTGAAAACGAATGGTTTCCTACATTCATTCTTCCATGGCGGCCCGCCACGCCAAAATTCATCCCGCCACGGCTACATTACAGCTTCCCATTCAAAACACTTTATTTTTTTAATAGTGTGTAATAATCGCACCAAAACATGTTAAGGGTAAGTGAATTATAACAGCGCAAACTTTTCTTTAACCGTAATAGTGCTGTGCGTCATTTGTTTACCCTTTAAGGTTACGTACTGACTGGCTGACTGACAGGTGCGTGATGCGTGAGGCCAGAAAACACGACGCATAGCCGTTTCACTTTAATTCAGGACGCATTAATATCGCTCTGTAGGTCTATTAGAGACATTCATAAATATTCCTAGCAAATCTAATAAATGCTGGAGACATAAATGTACTAAATCACACTTCAGCAGCGTTTATTTGAGAGCGCACAAGAAGATCTGCGCGCTTTTGTCCCGGCTTATATTTGAGGGGGCGTGCAAGAAGTTTTGTGCACGAGCAGAGGAAATCAGCGCCCCCCAGAGCACAGAGATTCGCATGCTGTAGGCTATTACATAAATGCGATATCGACTTGTAATACTGCGCTCACAACATTTGTCATTGAAATAACGTCACAGGTAGTTGGTAAATCTGTGTAAAAAAAGGCCTGCCGCCGAAAGTTAACCACCCCCTTGTGCTCCATCATGCTAACATCACAACTCAGAAGACACCTTTTCACCTCAGTGTGAAATCTCATCGCTATTTAATCTCACAAGATCTTTCGACTTGAGATCTCGTCACACCCTTATGGCCCTATCCTACACCCGCCGTAATAAGACGTGTATGGCGTGATTTGTTCCTATTTCCATACCAGCGCAACCTTAGGCCCCGTTTACACTAATGCGTTTTAGTTTGAAAACGCATAAGTTTTGCTACCGTTACGCCAACCGTCCACACTACTCCGGAGTTCTCGAGCGCTGAAAACGGAGCGTTTCGAAAACGCTGGAGAGGCCGTTTTCATTCTGAAATGCTGCTGCTCCGTCTCAGTGTGGATGATGGAAAACGGAGACATCTGAAAACGGAGGCGGGGCTGCTGACATTCGCCTCTCTGATTGGGGCTTTTCCTGAATATTAAGTAGCCCACACACAGTTCAGTCCTGCATTTTCTCCGTGAAAGTTCAGACTTCGCATGTTTGATCAAGGCTGCAGTCTCCCCCTTCTCAGTTTGATATGGAAAACAGACTATACCGAGGACACGGGTAAATCTTCAAAGGGAACAGTGTACTTTATAACTTCATTCACATCACCCTGGCTACGTTGTTTCACTTTCTCAACAATAAATTGTATACATGATTTAAGGAACTGCCTATTTTTATTTTAATATTAACAACTAAACAGACAGCAGAAATGTTGAGGCGCCGTGCTGCATGAGCGTCATCTTCACTGTGTGGATATTTATAACAAAACGGAGCCGATAACAACTGCCTCCTTTCAATTTCAGTGAAAATACGAAACACACCCTCTCTTCTGCTGAATATCAGTTTAATAATCAATAATGGCCATTATAAAAGTATAACATACAATAAGTTTATACATTATAGGAAATAAAGGCAAGCGATCAGTCAATATACAGAATACGTGGTTTCATCAATCATTAACTTATCTTTGCGCTCAGCCAAAACACGTTACCTGAGAACAAGTAAGATTCTAATGACCAAAGTCAGGGAATATGTCGTTAGATAAAGACAACAAGATGAATGAAATATCCCGTTTAATAAATATAGTGAGATATTAGATCCAGCGGTAGATGCTTGATGAGAAGTCCGACTAGCAGAGCTCTCATCTGGGTAGATGAGCTGCAGCGCTTGCCAGAGAGTGTGTGTGTGGTCACGTGATGTGCGTTTTCAGCGTTTTGGTGTGGACGGAGAGCAGTTCAGAATTCTGGGTAAAACGCGAGTGTGGACGCGGATCGTTTTCATTCTACAACGCCGTTTTAAAACTAAAACGCACTAGTGTAAACGGGGCCTTAATTTTCACGTTTTGCGCCACGTTGTTTAAATAGCAAATGGGGATACTCAGTTCGGTTAATTTTGCCAACCAACAACCACCGCTCTTTAATCGAATATTAACCGTTAACTGGTCAAATTAATATTAAATTACTATTTAATTATATAAATAATTGACGTGTCTATTTTGTGTGACGTATTAAATATTGAGTTTTAAAATACTGATTTATTTTAATTTTCAGATGTGATGGTGAAGAAGGAAGAACTGGGTGAAGATGAGGAGAAGCATCATGTCAAAAGTGAAGAAGAAACTCACATAAAGATCGAGCATAGCTTTTCAGCGGAAAGAAAAGCTGTAAACGGTATCACCTGCACTCAGTGTGGAAAGAGTTTCAATCAGAAAAACAATCTCACTATTCACATGAGGATCCACACTGGAGAGAAACCGTACACATGCACGCAGTGCGGGAAGAGCTTCAGACACTCGACATCGTTTAATAAACACATGATGATCCACAATGAAGAGAATCCACATGAATGCGATCAGTGTGGCAAAACATTTCCAAATAACTTCGAGCTGAGGAAACATTTTAGAGTTCAAACAAACGAGAAGCCTTATTCGTGTTGTGTGTGTGGAAAGAGTTTTACACGACAGTCGCATTTGAGGAAACATCAGAAGATCCACACTGGCGTGAGACGGCATATGTGCTTCGAGTGTGGGAAGAGTTTTATTAGAGCTGCAGACTTGAGACGACACCAGATGATCCACACTGGAGAGAAGCCGTACGTGTGTTCACACTGCGGCAAGAGCTTCAGACATTCAGCACATGTGAAAACACACGAGAGGATTCACACTGGAGAGAAACCGTACTCATGTAGTGTTTGTGGGAAGAGTTTCAGACGCTCATCAAATCTTAATGAACACAAGATAATCCACACCGGAAAGAAAACGCACAAATGTGATCAGTGCGGCAAAACTTTTTTGAGGCCTTGCGAGCTGAAGGAACACGCTAGAGTTCATACAATGGAGAGGCCTTATTCATGCTCTGACTGTGGAAAGAGTTTTAAAAATGTGTCATATTTAAATAAACATCTGAAGCTCCACACTGGCCTGAGAAAGCATGAGTGCTTTGAGTGTAAAGAGACTTTCATTTATTCTGCAAGCCTGAAACGACACCAGAGGACTCACACCGGAGGGAAACCGTACACATGTACTCAGTGTGGGAAGAGTTTCATACAATCATCGCACCTTAACAAACACATGAAGATCAACACTAGAGAGAAAACACATATGTCATCATAACATAACGCAACACTTTCCTTTAAGGGTATTTAAGTAGCACATTTATCTATTAGGTGACAGGACGACTGGTTGCCATCATTCATTCATTTTCTGCCGCTTTTCCGGGGCCGGGTCGCGGGGGTAGCAGTCTTAGGAGAGAACCCCAGACTTCCCTCTCCCTAGCCACTTCCTCCAGCTCTTCCGGTGGGATCATGAGGCAATCCCAGGCCAGCCGAGAGACATAGTCCCTCCAGCATGTCTTGAGTCTTCACTGAGGCCTCCTCCCAGTGGGACATGCCTGAACACCTTCCCAGGTAGGCGTCCAGGAGGAATCCGAAACAGATGCCTGAGCCACTTCAGCTGACTTCTCTCGATGTGGAGGAGCTGCAGCTCCACTCCGAGCTCATCCCGGGTATCAGAGCTCCTCACTCTACCCATAAGAGTGCGCCCTGCCACCCTGCGAAGGAAACTCATTTCGGCCGCTTGTATTGGAGATCTTGTCCTTTCGGTCATGACCCAAAGCTCATGATCCTTGGTGTAAGTAGGAATGTAGATTGAGCGGTAAATCGAGAACTTTGCCTTTCGGCTTAGCTCCTTCTTTACTACAACGGACCGGTACATCGGCCGCATTACTGCTGTCGCTGCACAAATCTGCCTGTCAATCTCACGCTCCATTCTTCCCTCACTCGTGAACAAAACCAAGAGATACTTGAACTCTTCCACCTGGGGTAAGGACTTTCCTCCAACCTGGAGATGGCAAACCACCTTTTCCCAGTGGAGCACCATGGCCTCGGACTTGGAGGTGCTGATTCTCATCCTAGTCGCGTCACACTCTGCAGCAAACTGCCCGAGTGCATGCTGAAGGTCCATCTTCGATTAAGCCAACAGAACAAAATCGTCTGCGGATAACAGAGATGAAATCCTGTGGTCCCCGAACCAGACTCCCTCCATCCCAAGGCTGCATGTTGAAATTCTGTCCATAAAAATTATGAACAGAATTGGTGACAAGGGGCTGCCCTGTCGGAGTCCAACATGCACTGGAAACAAGTCTGACTTATTGCCGGCAATGAGAACCAGACTCCTACTCTGTTCAAACAGGGATGAGACGGCCCTTAGCAGAGCGCCTCTGACCCCATACTCCCCGAGCACCCAAAAATGGATTGCAATCCAGCGAAAGATAAATGCGGTACAGGGATATTCTTCTCCAGAGCACCTAAGCACACAGCTAAAATAACAAAGGAGTGGTTTCACAACAAGTTCTAGAATGGCCCAGCCAGAACCCTGACTCAAACCCAATTGAGCATCTCTGGAGAGACCTGAAAATGGCTGTCTACCAACATATATCATCTTACCTGCCAGAACTGGTGACGATCTGCAAGGAGGAATGGCAGAGGATCCCCAAATCCAGGTGTGAAAAACTTGTTGCATCTTTCTCAAAAGACTCATGGCTGTATTAGATCGAAAGGGGGCTTCTACTAAATACTGAGCAAAGGCTCTGAATACTGAGGACCATGTAATATTTCAGTTTTTCTTTTTTTAAATAAATCTGCACAAATGTCAACAATCCTGTGTTTTTCTGTCAGTACGGGCTTCTGTGTGGACATTAATGAGGGGAAAAAATGAACCTAAATGATTTTAGCAAATAGCTGCAATATAACAAAGAGTGAAAAGGGCGGTTCGAATACTTTACACTGTATATAACTTTTCCCCAACTGTGGTGATGGGTTCGGTAAGCTATATGGAACGTGATTATGGCTCTGTTATGCTGATTTCCCCGTTTATTTAATGGTTTTATTCATTCATTTTCTTTTCAGTTAGTCGCCTTATTAATTCGAGGTCGCCACAGTAAAATGAACCGCCAACTTGTGTATGGGTGTTTCCCAAAACAAATGCTGGATAAGATGGCGCTTAATTTTACTTAGCCCATATTAATAAAGGGACTAAGCTGAAAAAAAATTATTGTATGTATGCATTTGTTTTAAATGGGTTGTTTTTGTTCCACTCACATACATTAAACGTTTAAATATCTATTAAATATGGTACTAATATTATTTAATCTGTTCACCTAGTGTGTGTACAGGCTGTGTCGGTGTGGTAATGGGCTGGTGTGGCTACAGTGCCAGGGCTGAATTTTTGTCCCAGTCCGCCCCTGATGTGTTAGTGTCAATGATCCATCTGAACGATAGAGACGGTAATGCACTTGCTAGTCTGCGATCCGCCGTTAAACCACAAGAAGAACTCTGTCCGTTGCTTCCGCCTCGCCGTGATGACGTCAGCGCTGACGCGTTCATTCAGCGTCGAGTCTTCAGAGCTGAGGTGAGTCGTTTTCGCTTTTTCTCGCGTTTACACAACAATAAAACACACTTTACAGTTTATTAAAGCGACAATCTGCGACTAGTTTCTGCATTGAGTTCACCTCTATCTGTGTGTCTGCTGACCAAAACAATACAGCCGGCAGAGAGGAGCTCTGAGAGGACAATATGAGTGAATGTGTTTGAGTTTTACTTTGTTGGTGTGTTTGAGTTTATCAGCGTTTCTATGAGCAATATCTCAAAGTATCTGAATGGAAACAATGGGAATAAATGTGTATCAAGTTTGATGCAGAGACGCTTTTTGGCGCTCTTTTTTTCCCAACGGTTTTTCTGATTTCTCAGTTTCTGTACAGACGCGCGACTGTAGTATTTGAGTTATTCCACGTTTGTGTTCGTCATATCGCAGAGGATTATCTGTAATGGGAATCTACTGAAGCAAATATATGAAGCTTGATGCAGAAAACTGTAACTTAATAGTTTGCGAAGCTCTTTATTTTTACTATCCACCTTTTTTGATTTCTCAGTTTCTGTACGTACATGTGCTTTCACTGATATAAATACAAGAGTTTAGATATATTTTAAATTTACCATGTTATTTGTGAAATGTGTTTTTGTGTGTTGTTTGCTCTATATATGTGTATATTCATATATACAGTTGAAGTCAGAATTATTAGCCCCCCTGACTTGTTCGCCCCCCTGTTTATTTTTTTTCTCCATTGTCTGTTTAACAGAGATATTTTTTCAACCCATTTATAAACATAATAGTTTTATTAACTCATTTCTAATTGATTTTTTTAGTTTTTTGCCATGACAGTAAATATTTCACTAGATCTTCTTCAAAACACTTCTATACAGCTTAAAGTGACATTTAAAGGCTTAACTAGGTTAATAGGCAGGTTAGAGTAATTAGGCAAGTTATTGTATAACGATGGTTTGTTCTGTAGACTAATGAAAAAATATATAGCTTAAAGGGGCTAATAATTTTGACTAAAATGGCTTTTAAGAAATTAAATGCTGTTTTTATTCTAGCCAAAATAAAACAAATAAGACTTTCTCCACAAGAAAAAGCATTATCAGACATACTGTGAAAATTTCCTTGCTCTTTTAAACATAATTTGGGAAATATTTAAAAAATAAAACAAATTTAAAGGGGGGTCAATAATTCTGACTTCAACTGTATATGATCAATTCTAGCGTTATAAGTGTAATGTTTGCAGTAAAAACTCCAAACATAAATTAGAAAAAGTATATGTTGACATTAGATTGAAACATTTCTTCTGTTTATATTTTCCCAAACAACTTATTCTGGGATCAGAAAAATATTAATCTGTAAAAAAAAAAAAAAAGTATACTTTAAATGAGAAAAATCAGCATGCGTTTGGATGTGACAAAAAATGTTAGCGAGTTAAAAATATGCAACACATAAAAATGTATAAAAATTCTGTGAATTAAACTGCACAACCCAAAAGAAATAATTCTCATCAAAAGGACAAGAGTCGGCGCACTGTAGAACAAAAATTATTGATTTTATTTTATTGAACATTTTTGCATTTATAGGGAAAAAACTTTATTGTGGATGTGACAGATGTGAAGTTTCCACTTGTGTGACTTAAATATGTAAATCAAATATAATAGTTTGAAAACATTGACAGAGACATTTTTGAGTATTTTTACAGTACTGTAGAATACAAGCCTACACAAAAACCCTATAAAGGGTTTCGCTATTTTGGTAAAAACTTATTTTTTTTTCATGGCAAGGTTGACATTTGCATGCAATTGCTCATATATATATTAATTAATTAATAATTAATAATAACATAATAATTAATTAATCCTGCAAAAACTCTGTCTGTTTAATGAGTGTTTATAGTCTAAGGCTCATCAATATTATCAGACCTGCTGGAATCCTCTTTATTTCATGTTTTATTTCATTTATTTTACCGATGTCTCCAGATCTACAAAATACCACATGAAGTAATTTTCTTTTTTGTGTCTGCTGACTTGAGAAAATCACATAATCACATATTGTATCCCAAGATATAACATCATAATGTGTTTATTTCCTCAATCAGTGTAAATGAATCAGATGTCTCTGTTTATTCTACTGAAGCTCTGCCGCCATCAGTGAAAGACAAAGACAGGGTTTATTGAAGGACAGTGAGAAGATGAGTGATCCAGAACCCTGCAGAATTAAACAGGAAGAGACTGAAGAACTAATAGGTTTGTGTTTATTCATTACTCTTAGATAATGAGGCTGAATCTCCAGGTCTCTCTGTGAATAAGCTTGAGTTTTCTCCTTTAGTGACTGATGAGTGTCAGCATGTTCAGATACTGTTGATTCTCAGTGCCAATTTCACCTAGTGAAGTTTCACAAACTTCAAGAGGAGCGCGTGATATGATTGATCACATCTGGTCTCTCATCTGTAATCATTCCAAACTCTCTATAAATAGCCCGACTAGCATTACTCACGCATCATCGTTTTTTGGAAGAATCCCCCTATCCACCCCATCTCCACCTTTCCTCCTTTACCAGGGGGAGCTCCCGAGAACTACCTGATCTCTTACCCCCTCACATGCTCATTGACCAGCCGGGAGCCCTGGGCTCAATTATCTCCGAGCTCACGGTTCTCTCCCGGGACAGCATGGCAAACCTGCTAATATTATCAAGCAAAATCTAAGTGTGAAGTCTTGAAATATTAGAGAGCATTTAGACACATTGTCTGTAGACAAAATAAAAAGTTGATAATTTTATACTTTGTTCAATTGTTTAGTCACTAAAAAAAAAAAAATCCAATAAGGATGCACGATAAATCAGTGGCTATATTATTATCGGCCGATAAATGCTATTTTTAATGTTATATCGTTAGAAGTTTGATGTCAAAATTAGGCTGATATCTATAAGTATCTCTGTATCTCTTTGGCTCGAGACTGCGGGTCTTATTCACTTCCATTCATTTTTAGATGTTTCCTTCTGCAGTCTGATATTTTCTTACATTATTCTGCGTTGTCTGTATTGTCATGCAAGCATTTGTTTGTAGAGCGAGTAGTTAAACTGTTTTCTGCAGTTGATTATTTTTAGTCATTTCTCCCATAGGCGACTGAATCAGAATTTTTAAAACAAACGCAAAAACAAGCGCACATCGCATTTCAGAATGAGGTCAACAACTGAGCTTTCCGTACATTATTCATTCCTTCAGAGTCCGCCCTTTCTTTGTGTGCTATTGCTGTGCGTTAATTACTCAGTTAGTAACCATGAATCTTATCACTGTAGATATGTTTGACAGAGTGTCATTGTGTATGTTGCTTGCCATGTGTGGTTGATGTAAGATTGCATTCAGTTTGATCTGCATATTTATAATGATTATAACGAGCCCTTGTTATAGCTATAACCACGCACACATAGTGATTCGATAAGCCATTTACAGCAACCCAAACAGCAGCAGGGGAGAGTGCGCGTGTAAAAACTGAACACATATTCATAAAACATTTAACATTGTTCAAATAAATCAAACCATAAACAAAACATACCTCGCTCTGCTTGCCAAAGGGATATTAAGGGTGCTTTCACACCTGTGGATCAATTCTTATGTTCAGAAACAGGAATTAAAACTGTTACATTGTTGCTCTTTGTTTTTGGTGCGGTTTGCTTTCACACGGCAAAGTTTCTAAATGGACCAAAAGAGCTAAAACAAGTCACGTGCGAGTATTACGAGTCCTTATTTTAATTATGACATTGAGCAATAAGACATTATAAGCGAAAAGCTGCGCTTTCATTTTGAACGGTGACACCCACAGGTAATATTTTTTCATACATAGCAGTTGGCTCGAATTATGCATTGTAGGCTTTACATTATAGAGGGAAATAACAGATAAACCAAGACTGCAGTTCGGTCAATTTTCCTAAAGGATAAACATCTCTTGTTAATAGGTAACATGCTTTCACTTTCATATTTGACATGAAACACACATTTACAGGTAGGAATGACATCCCGCCCTACTCATAATTCCCTCTTCATATAGCTGTATATATACTTATTACATATCCATAATACACTGGGAAATAGCCTGGTTTGGATCGTATCGCTTTCTCACTACAATCAATCCGCTCCAGAGTTTGTTTCAATCGAGCCGAGTCTACCTCATTCAGACAGTCTTGGACCAATTAATTTGGCGCGGATCCGAGCACGATTGCTGGATTCACATATGCCAAACAAACTGTGCTAGCTGGGGAAATGTGCCAGGTTCCGAAACAAAAGTCTAGGTGTAAAAGCACCCTAAAGGCTGGTTTATACGTCTGCGTCGAGGGATTGCTGTGACCCACGGCACCTATCTTGCACGTAGTCATGCATTTATACTTCTGCAAGCTGGTTGTGTTGTTCTGCAATAACACTTCTGAAACTCTAGCTGGCTCTAGGTTTTTATGTTCCTCTGTGTAGAGTTTCTTCACGGGTGTTTTGTTTTTTCTTAACGCTACCTTAAAAGTAGCTAAAACGCGCTCATTCAGAACGTGCAACAACTTTTATCAAAACGTAAACACAACACAAAAGTTTCAATCTGAAGCTCCTTCACGGGACTCTTGTAAACACTGGCTCCAACAGGTTCACGCGGTTCTCTGTACTGCCCACACTGGCCGCAGCTACTAAGCCGACCAATCACAGAGCTTGCTTCATGCATCGTTGCAATGTATAGTAAAAAAAAATTTGAGACAAATGGAGACAGTCCCCCCACCTTCCCTTTTTTGTTCTTCCCTTTCTGCTGCAACTTCTAGCCTCCAGCCCCCCGGGGGCTCTTGATTTTCTTCCGTGAAACCCCTTCCCACTCTCTTCACTTCTGTCTGCGACAACCCACAACCTCATCAACACTCCTCCCTCCTCTTCACTTTGGTCGGCAACATTCCCCAAAACACAACAACCATCCCAACCATAAACACCCCCCAAAACCGCCCTGCTCTACGCTTGCATGAGGGTGGCATGAGCACCCAAAAGGTGGCACAGTCGTCATTTGCTTAGAGCAATTGGCTTGCACAGCTTTTGGGTGCAAATGCGACTGCGACTATTGACGCATAAGTATAAATCAGCCTCTTAATTGTTAAAGGATTTAATTTAACCACTCTAGTGTGTGCAACCCCTAGTTTATAACGTTTCAAATGATTTCTGGATTACCTCCAAGATTGCACGATGTTTGTTGTATGGTGTCTCATTTTATATATTGCCCTTTCTGCCTGCTGTTTATGTAGCCGCCAGGCCAGCAATTTGATTGCATTTGGGCCTGCTTCATACAACTGCCGCTATATAAAACTGCCCCCCCCCCCCCCCCCCCCCCCCTGTCTTTTTTAATATTTGATAAATTTCTTGTTTTATAGCTCTTTTTTTATCAAGGAGCAGACTGATCTTCTGTTTTTTTAACTGTCTAGCTATATTTTTTTCTCTAATTTAGGGTTTTGCCGTGTCCAACAATATAACTGCCGTGTCCAACTGAAAACTGATCTTCAGTTCTTTATTCATGGGTTCTACATTTAATAAAGTGATTTGCTCATGTTCAAGTTTATCATTAGCTAGGATATATTTACTGTCTCAGACTAGTTCGAAATAGAGTGAGTTTAGTATTAAGATTGAAACTTCCCTTTTCTTACCGGCTTTAAATGATGAGTAAAAAGTAAGCCACATTTGTTAAGTTTTTCATGTTCATCTGTAGATGTACGGCATCCCTGCAGTGCTTCTGTTTGCTCTTTCAATACCAAGTTTGTCCCCCTGTAACAGATTGCCTAGTTCTACGTTTTCCAACACCTCATATTATTATTATATCATAGTGTATCTTCCAGGTCCACTAACACCAGGTTCGACTGAACTGTTCTTTGATTGCAGAGGAGCTGAAATAGGGTGCTGGGATAAACAGTTTTTTTAAACAAGTTTAGCAGCGGCCAGCTAGTGAAGTGCTGTGCAAGTAAACCTCATGCCTCCAACCTGTAAAGGAGACAGACGCTAGAGGCCAAGACCTCCTTGGTAGAGCAACTGACTTCATGCGGAAGGTCGCCAGTTCAATCCCACCCTGGAGCGGGTTGCGTGGCGTAGGACCGGAGGGGTTACATTGATGCTGTGACCCGGATGGGAGTGAGGTTTAGAGTGTAGTAGACACCAGCTAGTGAAGAGCAGTGCAGGTAAACCTCAAGCCTCATTCACGCTATGAACAAATCGCAGCGGGAAAGCAACAATCGAGCGTTCATTTTAACAGGGAGCGAGAGGCTTTCGACGACATCCGTCTACGCATGCGACAGTGACTGTTGGCGACCAGGTGGACATGTCGAACGACACAACAAAATTGAGAATACTTCAACTATATTGAAAAAAAGATAAAGAGCGACTTTCTCAATGAAGAGCGATCCTCTCTCAGCTTGGTCAGAGGCCGGTTTTATTCATCCTGTATATACCAACACAGACCTGCATTTGAAGCAGGTCGCCACCCAGAGCGACAGGCAGAGACAAAGTCATTGCTAGTCTGAATGAGGCTTCACTCCTTTGACATCTAAAGGTGCTCTAGCAACATACACTAGAGGCCATGGTCTTTAGCCTACTTGGTAGAGCAACCGACTTCCATGCAGAAGGCCGATCTTAACCTAGAGAAGGTTGGGTGGTGTAGGACCGACGGTGTTACACAAGGACAAATGAAAAGTAATGTGCTCTTGGCAAGTTGCTTTTCCAGGATTATTTTTGTGGCATGTCTTCTGCACAATCACTGCAAAGACACAGGTGTTAGTCATTTGCCAATTGATCAGCTTAAAAGTCGCCATTCCGATTCATTTTTCATCATTTCATCAGTTCATCACTTGACTGTACTATTAAAAACTAGCCTAGAAGTGGCATCTGCTGTAAAACTAGCCTTTTAAAATGCACCGTATTTACTTAATTTTTTAGATGTGATGGTGAAGGAGGAGAGAGAAGACCTGAGTGAAGATGAGGAGAAACATCAGGTCAAGAGTGAAGAAGAAACTCGCATAAAGATTGACCATAATTTTTTGATGGAAACAACAGCCGTGAAAGATTTCACCTGCACTCAGTGTGGAAAGAGTTTCAGCCAGAAATACAATCTCAACGTTCACATGAGGATCCACACTGGAGAACAACCTTACAAGTGTTCACACTGCGACATGAGATTCCATTGTGCAAGAAACCTGAAATCACATGAGATGCTTCACACTGGAGAGAAACCACACAAATGCGATCACTGCAGCAAAACCTTTATAAGGGCTACAGATCTGAAGATGCATCTAAGAGTTCATACAAAGGAGAAGCCTTATTCATGCTCTGTGTGTGGAAAGAGTTTTACACAGACGTCAAGTTTAAGGAAGCATGAGAAGATCCACACTGGAGTGAGAGAGTTTGTGTGCTTTGAGTGTGGGAAGAGTTTCATTAAAGCTGGAGACTTGAAACGACACCAGATGATTCACACCGGAGAGAAACCGTACAAGTGTTCACACTGCGACTTGAGATTCAGGTATTTAGGACACCTAAAAGCACATCAAATGAATCTCACTTCAGAAGAACAGTTGGCGTGTACTCAATGTGGGAAGAGCTTCAGACAATTAACAAAACTTAATCGACACATGCTGATCCACACGGGAGAGAGACCACACAAATGCGATCAGTGCTGTAAAACATTTTTGAAGGCTTCAGGGCTGAAGAAACATCTTCGAGTTCATACTAACGAGAGGCCTTATTCATGCTCTGTGTGTGGAAATAGGTTTACGCAGGCGTCAAGTTTAAGAAAACATCAGCATATCCACACTGGCGTGAGAGAGTTCGTCTGCTCTGAGTGTGAGAAGAGTTTTATTACAGCTGGAGACTTGAGACGACACCAGATGATTCACACCGGAGAGAAACCGTACAAGTGTTCACACTGCGACAAGAGATTTCGTAGGTCTGAACGCCTGAAAGCACATGAGATAACTCACAGAGAGAAACACACAAATGCTATCAGTTTTGCACATCAATGAATTTTTTTATTCCTGAAAACTCTTGTTTGTATGTTAATGAATTCCAGTCATTTGTAAGTAGGGCACATGTAGCTTAATTACAATTAGCATATCTCCAGGCATGAATTGCAGCTGTGTAATTGTTTGTCCAGCAATGCAGTGGAATATTTATTAGTTTGGCTCAAACAACAGATCATTTGTTTGCGATGATTTGTAATCCATGATTGTTAAGTAGTATCTTGCTTTTAAAAATAACACTGTAAAATATAAAAAAAGTAAAAGGTCATTCGTTTTAAAAGGTTAGAAAAGTGTAGCAGCCAGTATTATCATTTATTAAGTATGTACAAATTGTTGCTTGTTAAGGATCTTTACACTTATCTATAAACAATACTGTTTATACGATACATTGGATGTTTTTTTTCATTATTTTTTTATACTTTCTTCGAGCTGTTATTTAAAAAAAAGTTTTAGATTACATTAAGAATTTTATACACGTTTTACAGGTCTGCAAAGAAGTACTACGTTTTTTTTTTATTTAGTGTATTTATAAAAATGTTTTAAGTGACTAATTAACAGTTTTCACCTCACACATTGAATAAAACAGATTTTTTTTTTTGGCCTACATTAGCAAATGTTGTGTTTGTCGAGGGTTAAATTATTATTTATTACTATTATTATAAGCTTTGAAACATTGCATACAGTAATTATACAAATTCAGATATATGCTATATCCAGGAACATTACAAGAATTGCGACAACAACCAGAAATGATAATGAAGCAAAAACAACAGGGGAAAGAAAAAAAAGTATTACAAAATACTCATATACATATAAACAAAAATAATAACTTAGGAGACAATCATCAACTACAGCGGGGGATCAGTACCAGAGAAAAATTCCTTCATAAAATTGAACATTAAATCACTCTTTCTGCTTTTAATGTGCATTAGAGACTTTTTCAAAGTTTCCATTTCTAATTTAAAAAATTTGCATTTTGGTATACATTTCGCAAATTTCTGTTCATGAATAAAATATTTACCTTGCAAGATGTAAAAATTAACAAAATACTCGAATGTTCTTTTTGTGTGTGGAAAAGTGCAAATGACTTCTTTTGAAGAGAGCCTGTAATTAACATTTCTTTGCCTGAATAACACGACACTAACATCACTCCAAAATTTAAGAGAGACATCACAGTTATAGAAAAGTTGAGACAAGGCTTCCTCATGTATATTGCAAAATGTGCAAGATTATCAATATCCATGAATTTAGATAAAGTGACTTTGCAAGGATACATTTTGTGAATTATTTTAAAGTGCACTTATTTTAAAGGCAAAATTTAAAAGGGATTGATCAAGTAGCTTTTCAATTAAAATCAATATTTTTTTTTTATTCCAATGATATTTCCCTCTAGGAGACATTTTGTGTTTATATAGAAACAATTGTTTAGTTTGTTTATTATTATATGATGGAGAAAGTATGTCAAAACTGTCAATTTTTAATTCTGGGACTATTTTTTTAACGCATCTATAAGAAAAGTGATTATTAAATTAGTTGCATTACACCAGCTGGAATAGCCTTTACCACTTGGTGAAATTCTTTAAAAGGAATTAGAAAGTTATGCAACCTCATATAATCTTCATAACAGAGTGTATTTCCATTATCATAGAAGAAATCTGTAACAAAATGTTTCTTTGAAACGATTTATGTAAAAATACAGATTTGTTTCTAGAGGTAAAGAGATAATTATTCTTTTATATATTTTATGAGGACGTTTTGACGATCCGCCGTTGCGCCCGCCTCGCCGTGATGACGTCAGCGCTGACGCGTTCATTCAGCGTCGAGTCTTCAGAGCTGAGGTGAGTCGTTGACGCTTTTTCTCGTGTTTACACAACAATAAAACACACTTTACAGTTTATTAAAGCGACAATCTGCGACTAGTTTCTGCATTGAGTTCACCTCTATCTGTGTGTCTGCCGACCAAAAACAATACTGCAGGCAGAGAGGAACTCTTTGTGGTGTTCATAATTTTCTAAATTTCTTTGTGATTTCCCAGTTTCTGTGCTGCTGCTAACAGTCTAAATAATTCATAGGTACGAAAACGTACTTTTTGAAGTAGCTACTGATATAAATGAAATTTTTAATCATTATTTACAAAAGTAACCAGTATAAGAATGAACTGAGTTGTTGCTGATCCTAAATGTTTGTTTAATGAGTGTTTATAATCTGAGACTCATCAATATTCAGATCTACATCAAGTTATTTTTACTGGTGTTACCTGACTTGAGAAAATACCATATTGCATCACAAGATATAACATCATTAAGTGTTTTATTTAATCAATCAGTGTAAATGAATCAGATTTCTCTGTTTGTTCTCCTGAAGCTCTGCCGTCATCAGTGAAAGACAAAGACAGAGTTTATTGAAGGACAGTGAGAAGATGAGTGATCCAGAACCCTGCAGAATTAAACAGGAAGAGACTGAAGAACTAATAGGTTTGTGTTCATTCATTACTCTTCAATAAAGAGGCTGAAGAAGTGTGGTGTTAATCTTTAGGCATTTCATCAAATTTATTTTTCCCCATATGACCGTTTATTCTAAGAACTATTGTGCTTAGACTGTGTGTAGTTGTTTAGATTGCTAGAGAATCGTTCAAACACTAGCTCTAAAGTGACGTTAGTGATTTAGTAACGGCTTCTGCTGTTCTGACGTCAGCAGATGTGAATGAATGGCTGAAGAAAGTAGTTCCTCTTACAAAATGGTTTTGAAACTAAACGCAATATCACGAGTAGCAGTGCAACGTGGCTGTATATCGTTACTGGTGGGACACCTAAGGCATTCGGCCTGCGGCTTTGTGCCAATGCACACCTCCTACCAATGCTGATATACAGCCACATCGTGTAACAGAGGCCAGCCAGTTAATGCTGTGCAGGTAAAACCTTACTCCTCTGGCCTCCAAAGGTGCTCAAGCAGACGCTAGAGGCCATGGTCTTTAGCCTCCTTGGTAGAGCACCCGTCTCCCATGCGGAAGGTCACCGGTTCTGAGCCTTTACTGAATGAGCACTGTGCTGCGTCCGACAGATTGCACTATAATGTTTTTCTCTTCTTCTTCATTCTTTTATATCACATTTTACCTGTTTTTATGTTTTTTTAATTAGTTTTATTATTTGTTTTTATTTATTTATTTATTTTTATTCGTTTATTTTTTTATTATAATTTTTTTATTCTTGTTTATGTAAAGCACTTTGAATTGCCACTGTGTATGAAATGTGCTATATAAATAAACTTGCCTTGCCTTCTATACCAGCTCGGAGTGGGTTGGGTGGCGAAGGACCGGCGGCATTACAATTGCACTGCTACTCATGTGATTATGCTCATATATATCACCTAAAATTATTGAACTCATGTATATGTGTAGTTCGAGAAGTCCATATATTGATTATCGTGAAAGGCCTAAAAATTAGAATAAAATAATATTCGATTTTGGGTGTAAAAAGTAACCTCTCTGTTAGGTGACTGTGCGAATGTGTGATGTTAATGGGTTTTACCATGTTATTACATTTAACAATTAATTCAATCATTTAAAGGGCCATGAAACCCCCTCGTTTCAGCAGGGTGTTTTCACACCTCTACTTTGGAAAAAGTCAGAAAAGTGGGCGTGTCCAGCTCTGTTTAGGGGGGAGTGTCGGAGGAACTAAAGTGGGATGGTGTGGAAGTGTCTATTTGTGCACGCGCGAGTTTCAGTCAAAATACACACACATGAGAAAGTGATGCTGTTTAACCTACATGGACATCTGTAGTGGAATTATTTGCCAAATTATTAAATGTTGGACTTTAACTGCAGTTTGGCTCTTTCATTCAGGGAATTCATTCATGCCTCTCGCGACAAACGAGATATTTGATTCGAGGAACTGTTCTAAGCGTGTATTTTTCATGCACTGTTTGATACCGCACGGCGAATGAGAGAAAAAAAACCTCCGCTTTTCCTGGAAACTTGCACACGGCAGGTAGCGTCAGAAAGCCGTGTGTGTTATTCCGGTCACAAAATGCGGTGCTAACATTTCTGCACTCAGTGCAATAGTTAACTTAATTCGATACGAACAAACTGAATAAACAAAGAGCACTGGTCGCTCACTTACCAAATCTGTAGAGACAGGACAATCACCAGCAACTAGAGCCGCATCTTTATTAAGAGGATACTACAAGCAAATCCAGATCTCAGCGTTTGCAGATGAGAACAGCTCTCAGGTAAACAATAATCCTCCTTAGACACGTAAGTTATTGTTGTCGAGCGTCGCGTACACTGTTAATCCACACGTGACTCTGAGCTCTCACAGAGAGAAAATGAAAACGAAACTTCACTGCAGCAAACTATAAAAGCAACACTTCACGCTTGTTTTGCCAACACAACGTGGCGTCTTTGTGGTGTAAACACTCTGACAGTAATGAATATTAATGAAGTTGCACAATAGAGCGCGCTGATTGGTTTGACCCAAGCCTTACTCATGCATTAATGCAGCACACTGTAAGACGTAATAAGACTCACTCTGGCACAGACGTCCAGTCTGCACGCTGGAATACACGCTATTATGTCATGACCGTGACGCAGCTTCAAAAATTCGTTTCAAACAGGAAGTACAAATTTGCTTGAAATAACGCAAAAACAACCAATTTACACTTTTTAGTGAAATATAGGTGTCCTAATAGTGTTTTTAGCAGTGTGGGACACATATATGACTGTCAACAGCTCAAAAAATGTGTTTTGGTGTTTCGTGACCCTTTAAAAAAAGTACATTAAAGACACTTATGATGCTATGCTGAGGGTGTGAATCGCAAACATTCACAAGCGCTTGATTTAAAATACACTGTTTTAAAAAAGTCAAAAGTTAAATAGCCTCCTTGAAATGTTACCTATTTACTTAATTTTCAGATGTGAAGGTGAAGGAGGAGAGTGAAGAACTGAGTAAAGATGAGGAGAAACATCATGTCAAAAGTGAAACTGAAAGTGACTCAAAGATTGAACATAGTGTTTCAGTTAAAACGACAGCTGTAAAACGTTTCAACTGCACTCAGTGTGGAAAGAGTTTCGTACAACCCTCACACCTTCATCAACACATGAGGATCCACACTGGAGAGAAGCCTCACAAGTGTTCACACTGCGACAAATCATTCAGCCATTCAGGACATCTGACAGTACATGAGAGGACTCACACTGGAGAGAAACCGTACACATGTACTCACTGTGGGAAGAGTTTCAAATGCTCATCACACCTTAATGAGCACATGATAATCCACACTGGAGAGAAAACACACAGATGTGGTCACTGCGGCAAAACATTTTTGAGGCCTGCAGTGCTGAAGAAACATCTCAGAGTTCATACAAAGGAGAAGCCTTATTCCTGTTCTGAGTGTGGGAGCAGCTTTACACAGCAGTCAAGTTTGAGAAGACATCAGCAGATCCACACTGCCGTGAGAGGGTTTGTGTGCTTTGAGTGTGAGAAGACTTTTATTACAGCTGCAGAATTGAGTCGACACCAGAGAATCCACACTGGGGAGAAACCGTACACTTGTACTCAGTGCGGGAAGAGTTTCACGCAGTCAACACACCTCAACAAACACATAATGGTCCACACTGGAGAGAAACCATTCACATGTACTCAGTGTGGGAAGAGCTTCACACAATCATCACACCTTACCAGCCACATGAAGACACATGGTGCAAACCATGTTTGAGGCTTTCAGAGTTGTAGAAACATCTTAGGGCCTTGATATATGTTGAACTAAGTTCTGTCGTTCTCTGTTTGAGGGCAGGGAGAAGTTTGTAGGGATGGCTGACGTGAAACTGACGTTTCGACACAGTGTTGTGATCCTGAAGCCTGAGTGTTTCAGATCACTGCACCAAAGCATGATGTGAAATGCCCTGGTCACGTGACTAAAGTGTTTCAAAACACCAGGCTGCGTCCGAAACCGCCTACTACTTAGTAGGTACTGCATTTGAATTTAATAGTACTACTAACAGAATTATTACTTATTGGGCCTAAATCTTGCACACAGCAGATCTCGCAACTCAATTTACAATTAGAGGGATACAAAGTTAGCTTTAGCTCTACTATAAAAGATCTGGGTGTCATATTAGACAGCAATCTAACTTTTAAAAACCATATATCCCATGTCACAAAAACTGCCTTCTTTCATCTGAGAAATATCGCTAAATTACGAAATATGCTATCCATCTCAGATGCAGAAAAGCTAGTCCATGCTTTTATGACTTCGAGACTGGATTACTGTAATGCTCTATTTGCTGGCTGCCCAGCATCCTCTATTAACAAACTTCAATTAGTGCAAAATGCAGCAGCCAGAGTTCTGACCAGGTCTAGAAAATATGATCATATAACCCCAATTTTATCCTCCTTACACTGGCTGCCTGTTAAATTTCGTATTGAATTTAAAATATTACTTCTCACCTATAAAGCTCTAAATAATCTAGCTCCTGTTTATCTAACCAACCTTCTGTCTCGCTACGAACCAACTCGCTCCTTAAGATCTCAAAATTCAGGGCTTCTGGTAGTACCTAGAATAGCAAAATCAAGTAAAGGAGGTCGAGCCTTCTCTTTCATGGCTCCTACACTCTGGAATAGCCTTCCTGGTAATGTCCGAGGCTCAGACACACTCTCCCAGTTCAAAACTAGATTAAAGACCTATCTGTTTAGTAAAGCATACACTCAGTGCATCACCTAGCAGGTTCCACACTGGCTTCTACATCTTGCTTATATACACTATGAACAGCAGCTACGCTAATTATTCTCTTTATTCTCTATTTTCACCTGGGGATACTCATCCCGAGGTCCTCAGATTAGGC